ACCCTAAACCTAAACCCTAAACCCCAACCCCTGAACCCAAAACCCTAAACTTTGAGCCCCACGCCTGGTCCACTTCTCGCGATGTGAAGGGTCCTTGCCTTGGCGCTCATGGCAGTTGAGGGTTTGGGAATACTTGCTATTGGGGTGGAAGGTTTAGGGTTTAGGGTTTAGGGTTTAGGGTTTAGGGTTTATTTAGGGTTTAGGGTTTAGGGTTTAGGGTTAAGGATTTGGAGGTGGATCCTGAGAGACTTACGAGTGCTTAGTAGACGATCAAAGAGTAACTAACACGTAGGGGGGAAGATCAGGGACCTCGCCCCCCCTAATTGTGTCTAAGCACCTCTACTTTTACTGGGTTGGCCTCAAAACCCTTTGACGAATAGTTAAATAGCTTGCATATGGGGGTTTACGAAAACAAGGGACCCCGAATATAGACCCACCGAAATAGTAAGATTCCCTTATAAAAAGGATCACAGAAAGCTACCCCCCCCCCCCCCCCACCCCAATTTCGGAGACACCCATAATCGAATGGGATGTTCCCCCTTTATAGCAACAGGTTCTTAATGGGGATGATCGTACCCCCGACTATCATTCCTACTAAGGACTGTTAGTATAAGGGGGAACATCCAAACCCATATTGAAGCAGGGTTGATATTTCTTATACCCCCAAAAGGGCACCAGGTATATACACTCACCAATACTAAGCAGCAACCTTATACACACTCACCAAAAACAGTACAACATAAACCCTGCTTCATATAGGGTCCCCGAGAAACCCACACAAGGAACATTAAAGAGATCCCCGGAAGCCCACCTAGTCGAGCTTCAGGTATACTTACAAGCCGAGTTATATCCGTGCCTGAAATACTACTGTTTGCTTAAGAACCCCCACTCCCCCACCCCCAAAAAAAACACACACACACACACACAAAATTATCCCTAGATTGAGTTTTTTTGTTTTTTTTTTTTTTTTTTTTTTTTTTTTTTTTTGGGGGGGGGGGGGGGATTCTTAAGGAAATAGTAGTATAAGGATCTCTGTCCCTCGAATTCTGTCTAGGGACCTCTAAGTCACACACCATGACGTCCAGGCGGCGAGGAAGCGGCTTTGGAGGATGCCCTGAACAAAAACAAAAAAGGGTTTAGGGTTTGGGGTTTGGGGTTTGGGGTTTGGGGTTTAGGGTTTAGGGTTTAGGGTTTAGGGTTTAGGGGTTGGGAACTGCGTGAGGGAGGCGGGGGAGGATATCGGATATCATAAATCATAGATTGAGGCTTTGGGTTGAAATACCTGACAGGCAGGATGCCTGTATGAGCGAAACGTCTGACGACTCACGAACCCAAAGCCCTACAAACCCTACACCTACACCCCAACATGAACCTCATGATGAAGAGACCTCTGCGGACCAAACCTCCGCATTCTTACGAACAAGCTTAAGGCGCTTCTTGAAAAAATGTCAGCAAATTCAGCAGGTATTCAAGGAGGGGCTCCCTTACTATACTCACTGTAGTTAAGGGACTTAGAAGCTAATTTTGGGCTCCCTATAACCCAAGTTAGGGTCCTTTGTAACTGTACTTATAACTTGGGGGGAACCCTAAACCCTAAACCCTAAACCCCCCTTCTAGAGTTTAGGATGAGTACATCAAGCCACGCCTCATACTCATTGCCAGGGTGGCATGGGTCGCATGTCACAGTCAGATTGTCCTCGCCAGTCAGGCGTGATCAGGTTTAGGGTTTAGGGTTTAGGGTTTAGGGTTTAGGGTTTAGGGTTTAGGGTTTAGGGTTTAGGGGGTGTGCAAGCGTGGCCCGAGTCCTTACTCCCCGCACCCCAAAGCATCCACCCAAACACAAACCCAATGCCCTGATTGGAGGCTCATGGGTACTTGAAAAGTAGTGTTGTGAGTACCCTAACGAAGGGTATAACGTGAGCTACCCTACTGTTTAGGGTTTAGGGTTTAGGGTTTAGGGTCTGCACCCATGCACCTCCCAAGTACCTTTTGGGGACCTCGGATGGCGGTGTCGAAAAGCAGCAAAAGTGTTTAGCGTTTAGGGTGCTAGGAAAGCCACAGCACTACCCCCTGATCATGCACCGAAGCCCAAGCCCTTCACACGGCGGTCCTTGCAGAACACCTGCTGCACCAATTGCCGCGCGTCCGTGCACATGTCCCTGGCTGAAGGGCGACTCGAAACACAGGGCTTCCTGATGAGGCGGACTCCCCAACAAGTGTGATCGCGATCATGGTCCGCTTTGTTCTCTATTGAGAAGTTAGCACACATTGCAGCATGGGCGTATAACCATCAGCTTAACCTTCCACACAGCTTGATTTCTTTTACAAGCCGAGCAGGTGCACCTCTCCGTGGCGGACAGGTTGAGCGGTGCCAAGCCGTTGGCAAGAAAATGCGCGTTTTTGAAGGGCACGAGGTTCTCCTGGCTGCGGTTACGGGGGCTTTCAGGGCTTTAGGATGTTTAGGCCCCTATTTAAACCCTAAACCCTGAACCCTGAACCCTAAAGCCCAAAAGGCGTACTGCTCCATAGGAACTAAGGGCCTTGTTGGATTTTGGCGTTTCTACGGGCACCCGAAAGAACCCTAAACCCTGAAAAGGCCCAAGGAGTTAAGGTTGGGGATTGCAGGGTTTGGGTGTTCAGAATTCAACGATACTTCGGTATAGGAGCAGGTACCGGTACCAACTTAGACAGCAGATTACACACAGAGCGATCTCAACTAAGGTACGTGCCCAACCCTAAACCCTTAACCCTAAACCCTAAACCCTAAACCCTAGACCCTAGACCCTAGACCCTAGACCCTAGACCCTAGACCCTAGACCCTAGACCCTAAACCCTAAACCCTAAACCCCAAACCCCAAACCCCAAACCCTACCCGACTTGTCGCCCCTTGTTGCGCTTCCTGGGGCCTCAAATTAAACCTAAACCCGAAACTCTCCCTAGCTACTCGGAAGCCAATCCGTACTCCAGCTGAAAGGCCGCTCAAAAACGGGGATCGCCTGTGAAAGTTGTGGTGTGGGGCTTTCTTTCGGCAACCCTAGACCCGAAACCCCAAAACCCTTAAACCCTAAACCCTTAAACCCTGAAACCCTAAACCCTAAACCCTAAACCCTAAACTGTTTACTAAGGGATTCCTCACATAAGGGAGAGCAGCTCAAACGCATCCCTAAGGGCCTACCACTGCGGTAGGTCCCAACTCTTACCTGCTCGAAGGATGGTATGCTTAGAATATGCGAAATGCTGCCACCCTGAACCCTGAACCCTGAACCCTAAATCCTAAACCCTACACCTTAAAGCCTAAACCCTAAACCTTAAACCCTAAACCCTACATGGCTTTTGAGTGTACCGGAATCGAACACCTACAAACCCTACATCCCAAAACCTCAAAGAAAAAAGCTTAAACCCGAAACCTTCTAAGCCCAAACCCTCAAACCCCACAAGCCCTGAGCCTCAAAACACCTGCAACATCCCCCCAAAGGCGCCACTTGGAGGTTCATGGTACAGTAGCCACTTAGAACTGTACCTACAACCCACTTATAAGCCCTTTAAGTGCCCTAATATGGATATAAGTACGGTTATAAGTACAGTTATACTTGGTTACTAAGTACCACGAACCTCCAAGCAGGAACGGGATGGACCTGGAGTTTACGCAAGTCCGTACTTGGCGAGCTGGGAAATCTTAGGCACGAGGTCACGCCCGACCTTTCGCCGCGCTGCGCGGTGAAAGACCCTAAGCTCCCTAAACCCTAAACCCTAAACCCTAAATTTACAAACCCTAAACCCTAAACCCTAAACCCTGAACCCTAAACCCTATAGTGCCCTACTTGGAGGTTCATGGGTAGTTGTAAGTAGTGTTCTAAGTACAGCAAGGTTATAGCCAGAGTTACCCTACTTATGAAACTACTTGTAAGTACAGTGACAGCACTGACTAAGAAATCATTGGATTAAGAAACGAGCATGCTCGCGGCTGGATCCCGAAAAAAATGCGAAAATTGAGAACAAGACTAAATTAAGAAATCGAGGGTATCCTCATCCTGGGCCCTAAATTTCTTAAATTTGGTTGTTTTTTGGCAACCGCCCCTCAGTTTCTAGACATAAAACAATTCAAGAAGTCCAGCCCCTGTATCTGGATGCTTCCCCCCCTTGAATGACAAGTCCCCCCCCCCTCAAATAAGAGACTCAGCCCCTCGATTTCTTTCATTTGGGGGGTCCCTACCCCGCGCCGCCCTTTCGAATAAGAAATCCAGCCCAAAATTTCTTAATTTGAGGGGTTTTGGGGTCCTCTACCCCTCAAATCAGAAATCCGGGTTTTGCCACCCCCCCCCCCCCCCCCAAAAAAAAAAAAAAACTCCTAATTTAGTTGGTTTTGGTCCTTCCGGACTGCCCCCCCCACCCCACCAAAATAAGAAATCCAGCCCCTCAAATTCTTAAATTTAAGAAATCCAGCCCCTCGATAGGAAATTGAGTGGGCTTCATAATTAAGAAATCGAGGGTACCCTCGCCAAAACTTAGAGGTTTCTTATCCAGCGCTGTCACTGCACTCATGAACCTCCAAGTAGCCCCTGACCAAAAAACACTAGATCGCCCTGCAAATCCCCTAAATGAACCCTAAACCCCTAACCCCTAGACCCCTAAACCCGAAGCCCTCCAAACCCTGAGAAGCCCCAACGAAGCCAAAACATTTCTTTTACTGGAGTACCCATGCCCTTTAACAAGTGAAGGACTTCTGGGCTTAGGGTTTGGGGTTTGGGGTTTGGGGTTTGAAGTCTAGGGTTTTAGGGATGTTCGCTAGACTCATAACCCGACGACTTCATTCCAAAGCTCCACGCCGCAGGTCCTAAAGCCCCCTTTTGATTTCGTCCTAGGTCAGGAAAGGACAGGACCCCTAAACCCTAAACCCTAAACCCTAAACCCTAAACCCTAAACCCTAACCCCTACACCCTTAAACCCTTTGGGGCTTCAGGGTAGCTCAGGGCAGGACAGGCACCTGGCCAGAATCTCATTCAGGTCTGACACTGCCCTGGGCTCCTGGGGTCACAAGCCAGTTGAGGGCTAACCCTAAACCCTAAACCCTAAACCCTAAACCCTAAACCCTAGACCCTAGACCCTAGACCCTAAACCCTAAACCCTAAACCCTAAACCCTAGACCCTAAACCCTGAACCCTAAACCCTGAACCCTAAACCCTGAAACCCAAGAGCCTACCCCAAGTAAAGGTCCGTGACCTGTGCAGTAGTGTTTAGAGGGGTTAGGGCTTCGAAAAAAAAAACAGGTGTTGGATTCGTATTCGGCGTTGGCATTGATGAGGGGACACTTGACAGTCACACATGACACTCCCCTAAACCCTAAACCCCAAACCGTGTTGAGATGCGCCTGGCTTGCGGCAGGATTTCGGGGTGCAGCTGGTAAGAGGGTACCAACAGCTTATGTGGCGTGGCATCAGTCACGTCTTGTGTACCTTGCAGCACTATCTAAGAAATATTCAACATACCCCTTGGGCATACCCTTAAATGAAACTAAGGGGTATGGTAAAATCCTTCCTTATTTCCTTTTATAAGTCGCCGGGGTCTGGGGTATGTTGAATTATTCTTAGATACTACAGCTCCCTGAAGTCTATATACTTCAAACCAAATCCATCTGGTTTCATGTGCCAAGAGCTTGGTATAGAGCCTCAAGGAACTACACTCCCCTTAGAACCTAACAAAAAGCTCATATTTCCCTTGGGTGTTCCATAAATACAGAATTATTCCTAAGGAGGCCTAGGGAAAGCGCGCTCCAGGAAGCTCAGCAAAAAAAATGAAGCAGACCTAAACAAGAAACTCCGCACGTGGTACGCTAAACTCCCGAACCTAAAAAGGCCAGGCCCTGAACCCCTAAAACCCCAAAACCCTAAGACCTCAAAACCCTAAAACCCTAAAGCCCCAAAACCCTAAAACCCTAAAACCCTAAAACCCTAAAACCCTAAAACCCTAAAACCCTAAAACCCTAAAGCCCTAGAGCCCTAGAGCCCTAAAGCCCTAAAACCCTAAACCCCTAAAACCCTAAACCCAAGACCCCAAGGCCCAGCAGGGCTGTGCCTCACCGAAGGCTCTCTCGTAAATTCGACCTCAGAGCTGTGCAGGGTTTAGGGTTTGGGGTTTGGGGTTTGGGGTTTGGGGTTTGGGGTTTGGGGTTTGGGGTTTGGGGTTTGGGGTTTGGGGTTTGGGGTTTGGGGTTTGGGGTTTGGGGTTTGGGGCTTTGGTGTTGGGGGGTTTGGGGCTTCTTCAGGCTAGGGCCTTAATGAGCAATGGGGTTTTGGGGGGTTCATATGCTGTAATTATGCAGGGACAATAAGGGAATACTACTAGTAATGCTTCCAACCCCCAGATTATGGGGTTTCAGGTTCTGGGTTTAGGGTAGACAAGAATGGGTCCAGCAGCATCTCTCCTCTTCGGAACCCTTGCCTGTGATGAAGCAACGAAGCCACCAACACAACTAGAAAGTACGCTGTCCAAAGTACGATCCGGAGAATCATGAACCCCAAGTCCTAAACCCTAAACCCTAAGCGCAAAACCGAGGCATCAATCAGGCCACGCCGCTGAGCGCCCTATTGTCGGCCAGAAAAACCTGCACCACCCGACGAGGAAACAGGCACCAGGCACCAGGTTGGGGTCTTGGGAAGGGGTACGGGGGGGGGCGGGGGGTTTAGGGTTTAGGGGTTTAGGGGTTTAGGGGTTTAGGGGTTTAGGGGTTTAGGGGTTTAGGGGTTTAGGGGTTTAGGGGTTTAGGGGTTTAGGGTTTAGGGTTTAGGGTTTAGGGTTTAGGGTTTAGGGTTTAGGGGTGGAGGCTGTGGGCTGTGGGGGCGAGGGGGGGGGTGTACGGACGCACTGGGAGCACGGGAGCACTGACTTATTTCAAGCTCAGCCGTGGAAGAGCCGCATGATACCCCCTAGAAATCAATACTAAACCCTAGGCCCTAGTAGACACAAGAGTAGACTATAAACAAGGGCATCCTCTTGGTTTTACACGGGCTTGTAAGGGCTAGGGCCTAGTCTGGGTCCTAGCCTAACAGCCTAAACCCCACTAAGGCCACAAGGGCTGGCGCGTTGGCGCAAGATTCACAAGCTACCAGGTACGAGACAACTCTCTCAATTCTGGTCCTCTTGGGATTGGAGGTCCTTGGAAGTATTGGCTAGGATGGCCCTTAAAACCCTCTGGAAAACATTCCTGAATATGACCCTCTTAAACCCAATAAGGGAAAAATATGTAATGTCCCAAGGGCCTACCTAGTTGGGTACGGTAGGACCAAGCCAAAGTGTTAAAGCGATGGAATTTGAGATTAGTCTTCCCGTCCTGGTCCAGGTACTCCAGCTGGCCCTGAAGGGCCAAACACCTGTCAACAAGTGTGCTCGCTACGCCCCCCCCCCCCCCCCCCCCGCCCCCCCCAACCCGCCCTTCTGCCCAAACCCCGCCTCCTGAATGCCTAAACCCTGTTGGCTAACCCCAAAACTCAAACCCCCTCCACCTAAACCATCCCAAACCCATCACCTTAAACCCAGAAACCCCTGAATCCGAAAACCCTGGGTCCCAAACACCCCTAAAAACCTAGACCCAAAAGCAACCCAGGAATAAACACAAAGGCACCCTTCTTGTGTTAAAAGGGGCTTATAGGGGAACCCCCCCCCCCCCAAAAAAAAAAAAAAAAAGGGAATAAGGGCCGACTCTAGGTCCCTAACCCTTCAGCCCTCGAAACCCTGCAGCCCTAGCGCCCATACACTGAAATCCTCAACCCCTTATGGGGCCCTTGCGCATTGTAGGGCTCGATGACCACGTCCACCATTCCAGGGGCTGGGACCTCTTGCGCAGGACTCAACAGCTTGAAGATTAGGGCGGTTTTTGGGTTGAGGGTTGAGAGTTCAGGGTTCAGGGGGGTCCAGGGTTTGAGGGCTTTGGGGTGTTGGGCTTAGAGACCCCCGGACGCGGACACGGACGCAGACAGAGCGGACACACCTCGGACGCGTGCCCGGACGCGCTACACTGTAGGGTTCATGGCTTGATGTGCCAAATTCAACCAAGCCCGAAATCCAACGCCTAAGTGGCTCAGGGGATTGGGATTTCGGGTTCAGAGCTTGAGGGCCTTGAGGGTGTAGGCTCTGCAGCATCCGCGAAACCAACGACAAGCCAAGGGCTGCGCCAATACAAAGGATTGGTTGACCTTGGCGGAACAAAAAGGCAACAACAGGTGTAGAGGCTTTCTCTACTCCCCTTAGACCCAAACATTTTAAAAGCCTTCTCCTGGGGGTGTTTGTAGTAGCAGAGGCTTAAACTCTGCGTACTCGAATGGGGAGGCGGGGGTGAGGGCTGATTGAAACCCTGAGCGGTTTAGGGTTTAAGGGTTAGGGTTTAGGGTTTTAGGGCCTAGGGTTCCCGAAGGCCTAATAGCGCCGAAACCAGTCATCAGAATATACAGCGGGACGCTCGTCGCCAGGACAAAACCCCCTCTTAGAGTTCCAACCCTGAAGCCCTCCCACTGTACTGTAAGCCCTGTAAGGGTTTATAGTTTATAGGGTTCATTATAGGGTCTGTGGAGTTTAGGGTAAGCCCTAGCGGAAAAGTCCCATAAACCGTGAGAATCGCATCGACTTTTTCGAGAATAAAGAAGATTCTTTTTTCGGGAGCATGTTCCAGAACGCATGAGCGCTTCCAGTGGCGTCACGGTCTCGTCGGGTCTACAGTTGTGCTTTTGGTTTTGGAGTGCTTGGGGGTAAGTTGGTGCTTGGGGTGTTGTGTTGGTACTACAGTATGTCGTGCAAAGAGGCCAGCACCGTCACAACAGTGTCTGCTTGGATCTTTCACCATTGTTATTGTCGGTATTTCTCTTGTTGTCGATTTCACTAGATTTGTGCGTTTTGTCGATCGGTTTGTCGATGTACCCCGCCAGCACCCAAAGAGCAAGAATCAAAGAAACCGGAATAAGCAAGAACTGGAGAACACTGAGTAACCAGTAAAGATGAAGAAGCGCTGCGCCGCGAGCGTATGCGAGCATTTCAACCCCACAGTTTTACAAACCATGAAGCCATAAACCCTACACAAACCCTGCAAAAGAAGCAAAGTGTGATCCGAAGCCCTCCACCCTCAAATCGGCTTAGGCAGCGGCACAGCTGCTTCTCTTGTCCAGGTAGTCCCTCAGAGCAACGCTCACAAGGTATGAGAGCCTGGCATCGGCGTGAAAAGACACGTCTGTGAAGGAAAACCCTAAACCCCAAACCAACCCTCGTGAACCCCAAGGAGGAACCCAGGGCCAACAAGGCTTCAGTGCAGCGGGGCTGCTCCACGGCAACAGTCGCTGAACACTGAAGACAGTGAACACAATCGAGCCCGAAATGAACAGTGCCCACCACACCAGCGTCTCATCACAAATAGAGAAGGACCAGCGCATCCTGAACCCCCAGCCCCTTTCTATTGCAGCCTCAACAGCATCCTCTCATGATCTCTACATATCTTTCCACGAAATACCCATGCCAGTTCGATAGGCCACTTTCCAAACCCCAAGCCCTAAACTCCAAACCCCAAGCCATAAACCCCAAACCGGAAACCTAAACCCCAAACCCTAAACCCCAAACCTCTGTATATCCTTAACCCTTATAGTAGAAGCCAAAAAGTTGGACACTCAATAGCCTCAATCCCTAAGAGTAAAGTATAGGGAATCCCAGCACTATTTGTCCTTAAAAGGTTTCCAGCCTTTTGGGGTTTAGACTCTTGGCCCACCCCCCCCCCTCACCCCCCCCACCCCCCCCCCCCCCCCCCCCCCCCCCCCCCCCCCCCCCCCCCCCCCCCCCCCCCCCACCTGCTCTGCCCTTCCTCCCTTCTTTTGCGAAACCCTCTTTCCTCCTTTCCTGTCCTGGGGCCGGCCCGGCTGCCGAGGCGGCGCGCGCAAGCGTTTACAATTAAAATTTTAGCTGCCTTATTAAGAAACCCAATAAACCCAAAAAGGATAAGGATCTAAAGTTACAGCAAAGTACCACAAAGTACTTTAGCCCCTGCAATCTGCAGTCGGCGCGCCCTGATCCGGTGCCGCCAGAAACAGCGTTGCAGAACTGCACCTTAAAGTGCTGTCGGTGGCGGGGGGAGGTATGGGTGCTTCGAGGTCCACATTAGGGTTTAGGGTTTAGGGTTTAGGGTTTAGGGTTTAGGGTTTAGGGCTACTGCACACTAACCAAGAAGACGGCGGCACTCCTACTTCGAAGGGAGACTCCAAACCACACGGACTTGCTTCTGAGGACATGACACAAACTCTAGCCACGAGGTTGGGGTGTATGGGTGCCTAAACCCTAAACCCTAAACCCTAAACCCTAAACCCTAAACCCTAAATGTCAAAACACTACACTTCGGATGGAACATGACAGGGTCTATCGGGGTTAGCAGGGTTTAGGGCTTCGGGCAGAAGTAGAGTTTAGGGTTTGGGGTTTATAGGGCTTAGGGAGTAGATCGGAGTAGTAGGGTGTAGGGTTGAGGGTTTTCAGTAGAGTTTAGGGTTTGGGGTTCAGCAGGTTTTGACTCTGCATGCAAGATGCACCCTAAACCCTAAACCCTAAACCCTAAACCCAAAACCCAAACCCTAAACCCTAATCCCTAAACCCTAAACCCGAACTCATGACTTTCCCATAAATATAACCGAGACAAGAAAAGATGCACCTTGGCTCCCCGGGTGCTTCCAATGCTGGGTGACTGCAGTTTTTTTTTCAGGGTTTAGGGTTTAGGGTTTAGGGTTTAGGGTTTAGGGTTTCGGGTTGACTGCAGCTTTTCAGGGCTTAGGCGTTTCAGGCTCGAGGTTTACCATGAGGAAGCCTCATTATTCAAGACATCCGCTCACCGGTACCTCACAGGGTTGGCCTTTAAACCTTTTGAACATATTGATCCATAGGGCCCCTTAAAAACCCACATAACCTAGTGGCTGGGGGAATTCCAGGTTAACCTTTGGGATTATAAGGGGATTATACTACCCTAAAAGGTTAAAGGTTACCTACTCTACTACCCTAAACCCTAAACCCTAAACCCTAAACCCCAAACCCCAAACCCAAAAAAAATGTCCCAACAGCCAAGCTAACTTACCTTAAGCTCCTGAGCGGCAAATGCGCCCAGCTCACCGCCACCGCAGGGCCCCCAGGCCCAGCATTCTAACCCTAAACCCATTAAACCCTAAACCCTAAGCCCTAAACCCTTTCAACCCTAAACCCTAAACCCTAAACCCTCAACCCTAAACCCTAAAGCCTCAACCCTCAACCAAGCCCCCGCTGTCCTGGGATTCCGCCTTTTTTTCCAGCAGTTGTCGTGGTAAACATCATCCTTCCACCCCTAAGACCGAAGCCCTAAGCCGTAAAACCTCTAGGGTTTAGTGTTTAGGGTTTAGGGTTTAGGGTGTAGCCTGAAGATGGAGACCTATGAGGCTCAACACCTCAATCCGATTGTGAACCCTACTTGGCTGCGCTTAGGAGGGTAGTTATACATTAAATGTTTAGGGGGTTGGTTGCATAGGGAGTAATATGGTCCCCCACCTTTGTTCGTGGAAACCCAGCTTTGCTTTGTTTAACAGGCACCCAATGTCTTTCAGGCCTCAATCGCACTGCTAAAGCTCAGCCCTAACGGGAATTTAATGACCGAAACCAGCGTGCCGAGGGTGGAACTCCTTGAATGCAGTTGCACTTCTCCACCTTGGGGTTAGGGTTGGGGATTTAGGTTAGATATGACTGAAGTCGATACATTTTCTGTTTTTCGCGAGCTTCTGAGACCCCCAAGCGGAAATGAGGGTGGTGGCGGGTATTTCTGCATGGCTTCGGGTACCCTGCGCAAATACGTTGAAATTAAGAATGCAGACAACCCCAATCATTCAACGACCGTGGGGAAACCGGCCGACGTAGATTGGGATTTCTTGGAGGTTCATGGGTACTTACATGTAGGGCTATAAGTGCCCTTCATAAGGTAATATAACCACAGTTACCCGAGTTATTCCTACTTGGAAAACTCCCAAACACATCCGCCGACCCCGCTGTTGGGTCGAGCGCCGGGGAAGCCTCTTGCATTGAAAGTGGTGCGCCGACCCGCGCTGCCCCTTCCGCCCGCCCCCCCCCCCCCCCCCCAAACCCTAAACCCTAAACCCTAAACCCCAAACCCTAAACCCTAACCCTTAACCCCTCCACCCCAAAAACAAACTGAACCCTCCTGCATCCTGCAAGCCTGTACTTTTCGAGAAATCTACTGGGATCCAACCTCGGAACAAGAGCAGGGCCGTTTTGGGGTTTTGGGTTAAAGTTTAGGGTTTAGGGTTTAGGGTTACTTATAGACCCTAGTTCTAAGCACCCAAATGAACCTCCAAGTAGTCCTTCTAAGGAACCCAATGACCCCACGCAAAGAAGGGTCCGCTGAGACACTTAGTCTAATCTCAGCAAGCCCTGCGACCCCCATCAGGCTTGTATTCCCTGATACCCTGAATATGTACCCCTGGGGGTGCCTTATGTTCCCTCATTCCCTACTCCGAACAAGCAAGTTCAGCCCACTTCCCCCTACACGGCGGAGGAGCTTCTTGTTAGAGCTGTGGGAAGCCAGACATGTTTTAAAAAGGCAGCGGCGGGCCATTTTTGAAAAAAGTGTGTGGCGAAGCCATTTTTCTTTTGAAGGCTCAAGAAATAGCGGGGGGGGGGGGGGGGGGGGCTGGTTTTTCTTTACAAGGTGTGGCGGGATTATGTTTAAAAAGATCTGGCCCGGTCTAGCGAGATAAAAGGTGTGGCGGGACCCCCCGTTCTGGGACAACCCAGCTGTAAACTCTTGACCCTAAAGCCCCTATATTCCCAGCAGCCCTGAAACGTTCACGGGGTTGCGGCTTTAGGGCTTGTCAGTTTTGGGCTTGACACTATATCCCTACAACCCGAGAGTCTTGGGGGTTGAGAGGGCTTAGGGGGGGGGGTTCAGGGATTGGGGTCCAAAAAAAAATCTTTGAAGCAGCATGGCCTACAACGGGGGGGGTTGGGGGGGGTGCAACCCCCGCCCCCCATTTGCAAACAAAATGCTCCCATGATGGGCTGTTCAATAAAAACCTTTGAAGCAAGCTTGCATGGCCCAAATTAGCAGGGGGGTTGCGCACCCCCCCCCCCCAACCTTTGAAACAAGCTTGCAAGGCTTACAGTAAACAAGTGGGGGGTTTTGGGTGGGCGCAGCCACCCCCCCCCCCCCCCCAGTGGCAAACAGAATGCTCGCATGCTATAGCACAAAAAAGTCGCATGGCTTGAAATCGAAGGGGTTGGTGGGGGAGGGGGGAGAGGGTGTGGGAGGGGGGGGAGAGGGGGGGGAGAGGGAGAGGGGGGGCGGGTGGGGGGCGGGGTCCCGCCAAATTCGAAAACAACATGTTCTCGACACAGCTTCAAAAAATTAGCCCCGCCTGCAATCCCTCAACCCTAAACCCTAAACCATCCGAAACTCTAACCCCGCCCCCCTTGCCTCCTTGCGGACCGCCTCGACACACTGGCTCGCCAAGTCGGAGCATTCCGCAACCACCTGGCAGCAGTGTGGGAGAGGATGGGTTCAGAGTTTAGGAGCGATAAAGTGCAGGGGCTTAGGGTTCGGGGTTTGGGGCTTGGAGTTTTGGGGTTTGGGGGATTTAAAGTTGCACATGGTGGGCTTGTGGATGCCTGGGCGCCTCTGAAACTCTACATATCATGGTGCTGCTCGTAGGGGTGTGTCTTCTAAATCGGGTTTACAGGGTTTGTCGGGTTTACAGGGTAGGTTTAGGGTTTAGGGTTTAGGGTTTAGGGTTTAGGGTTTAGGGTTTAGGGTTCAGGGTTGAGGGTTGAGGGTTCAGGGTTGAGGGTTTAGGGCCTTCGGGGATCCACGCCTGCGCGTAGCTGTTGCCGGAGCATGCCTCCCTGCCAACGACATTCTCGGGTCTGCGCCTGGCGGTCGACAATTGCCAGGCCCCAAACCCAGCCCCAGAACCACAAAATCCGCTTAGGGTTTAGGGTTTAGGGTTTAGGGTTTAGGGCTTAGGGTTTAGGGTTTACGGTTTAGGGCTTAGGGCTTAGGGTTTAGGATTTGGGGCTTAGGGTTTGGGGATTAAACCTTAAAGACGGAACGTTGGCGCGTGGCCATGCTGGGTCTGCTCAGATGAGAACTGGATTTCGGCTTCTGAACCCTAGAATACTGCAGACCAATCCTTGGCTGCGCTTAGGAGGGTACTTACTTATCAATTAAACTTTTAGCTGCCTTCTTAAGAAACACCATAAACCCAAAAAGGCTAAGGATCTAGAGTTACAGTAAAGCACCACAAAGAATCAGTGTCAGATGACGACTGAAGGTCTAGATGAACACCGAACAGATGTGTTCAGCCCAACTACATCTAAACACTGACCACAGTCATGAGCCGGCCACCCTAAACCCTAAACCCTAAACCCTAAACCCTAAACCCTAAACCCTAAACCCTAAACCCTAAGCAGCTACAGAGAGTGCATTGATGATATGCTGGGAACTACTTGGGGATTTGAGATATTGAGGGCATTGACAGGAGCCCCAACCATCAACCAACGGTCGCCCTAAATGTACCCCGCGAACACACTCATTAAAACCACAGGAAATATAATACCATTGCGTTCTGCTAGTGCTCTCAAAGAACGTGTGAAGAAAGCACAAGAACCCCCTTTAAAAGTAGCAAATGACAATGACACGCGTGAATTTACTATGTTAATTGGGTTTGGCGAACGAAACAAAGAACGCAATATGCGGGGCTTCTTTTACAAGCCATTTCGCCCGCATCATTAGATTCTTAATGTTAAAATTATTAATACGTTTATTGGGGCACCATTAATAGACTCATTTTCTGCCCCATTAAAAGAATATTAACAGACAGAAAAACAGTATTACTAAAACTGTGCTCAGTATGATACTAATAGTGCCGCCCCGCAATACTGCTATTAATATGAACCCGCGCATAGAACTAAAAGATGCCTTTTGCGCCCTGAACTACCCTAAACCCACACCCAAGACCCTAAACTGCCCTAGACCCTAAACTACCCTAACCCCTACCCAAAGGCTCCCATGTAGTATTGCAGAATCCCCTAGAACTAACTCAAAAAGGAGCTAGATCGGAGTCTTTGGGTAAGCAATAGGCACAGCCGCCATACGTCCCGAAAGTATTGGGCCGCCTGAGGAGATCGCCCAGAGCTGGGTCCTGAGCAATCTTGCATCTCCGGTTTTAGGGTTTAGGGCTTTAGGCTTTAGGCTTTAGGGTTTAGGGTTTAGGGTTTAGGGTTTAGGGTTGGGTTTAGAGACCGGAGGGGTTTGGGGTTTATAGGTGTTTGGGGATTAGGGGGTTTAGGAATTTGGGTTTAGGGGTTTGGGGTTTGTAGGAGCTTTGGGAATTGGGGCTTAGGGTTTAGGGATTACGGGCTTGGGCGTAGGGTTTATGGATTCGGGTTGTGGTGGAGTTTGCGCAGTGTAGTCTTTCGAAACCCGAAACCGGAAACCCGAAACCCTAAACCCTGAACAATGAACCCTAAACCCCCAACGACAAGCCCCAAACCCCTAAACCCTAAACCGTGCTGGGTGTCAAGCAGGGCAGGACGGTTCACGAAGAGTCACCAAGGCATATCCTTTTTAAATTGAGTTATGGGTTCCCCTATTCCCCCCCTCCCCTCCGTACTAAACCCCCACTCTCTCCCCATAATTCAGACTAAGGTATAATTTAGGGAACCCATGAGTTTAGTCTTCAAGTTAAAGGGTTTAAGGTTTGAAGCTTGGGTTTTAGCGTTCCGGGTGATTTTTAGGGTTTAAGCTTAAGTGCAAACCCCAAGCCCACAAGCCTCTGGCAACATCCAGAGTCGCCAACTCCTGGTTTACGGCATACCGTCTACAGGGCTTACGCTATACTTAGGATACCAGAACCCCAGAAATAGGTCCCTGAAAGGATCGGGTTGGGGAATTGAATCCTGACGCAAACCCGAAACCCTAAACCCTGAAGCTTGCGGAATCCTGACACGAAAGCCTGCACCCCACATCCTCACAACAGACCCGTCCTGTGTCGCAGCGGTCAGGTCCGTCATGTTCGTGTCGACAAGGACTGCTCGGGGAACCTCCGACATCGTTTTGCCAAAGTAGGGTTTAGGGTTTAGGGTTTAGGGTTTAGGGTTTAGGGTTTAGGGTTTAGGGTTTAGGGCCAACTTGGAGGTTCAGGGTACTTGTAACCCCAAATTATAACCGCACTTATGAGTCCCCGCAAGCCCCCTAAGTCCTCTAAGTAGGTTATAAGCAGACATATGGGTGGTTGTCAAAATTATGATCCCTTTTGGGTGTACCCTAAATATTAGGTGCCGTATTATAATAGGGATCCAAAAAGGGACAATGATTTTGACAACCACCCATATAATTCGGGTTAGAAGTACCGATGAACCTCCAAGTTTAAACCCTGCCCCTACAACCCCAAATTCTGCGGGCAAAATGAAACCGAATGACCCTAAACCCTGACCCTGAACCCGCAACGCTAAACCCTAAAACCTCGCCTAGGTTCGAGGCTTTCGAGTTTCGATTCGAGCGGTTCGGACCTTCGACTTCTTCGGATGAGGGCTTCAAGGCTGGGGGTTTCCTGGCGTCATGGGTTGGGAAGACTTTATTCTGAAGGGAGAGTACAGGTTCGGGTCACGACATGAGGGGAAGGCAAGGGAGACACCACATTTGGGGGTTTGGGATCTGATCAGCCTGGGTTTAGGATTAAGGGTTTTTGGCTTAGGGTTGAGGGAGCACTCCCTACCCTGAGTCCTCATATGGATATACGATAAACTTAAACCCAGAACCGCCAACCGAATAGACCCGGAACCCTACACAGGGCTCACAAGCCCCGCCCGACCATGCCCTATGCTTCCAGAGACCTACTACTTGTAGATTCCTAAAGGCCGAATTCGGTACACAATAAACAGTTCGGTCCCTGGAAGTGTACGGGCCAAAACCGCAGCCACAGGTCTGGGACGTCCCGCGTACTCTGCCGCGGCTTTGCCCGAAGCAACCTCATCGAAGAAGACGTCAACATATCCAGATGGATCCTGGCGAGGACAACCAAAGCTATCCGGCCAGGACCGGCAATTTAAGGGTTGTTGACTTTCAGGTTTGAGGTTACGGGGCCAAAGGGATTTTAGGCTGTAGGTCAACTTGGTAGCCCAGTAACCAGATTATGATGAGGGTCCAGGGTACCTTTTCGGGGTTGCTTACTTCTATAACGGAACCTAACACCCAAAAAGGGCAAAAGGGTACCTTTTCGGGGTTGCTTACTTCCAGAAAGGAACCTAACACCCCAAAAAGGGCAAAAGCGCACCGCTGCCGAAACCACAGTGTAAGACGCGTGCCCGATCAGACTTCCCTTCGTTAGGTTAGGTATGGCCTTGCTTGTTAGGGTTGGAGCTTAGGGTTTGGGATTTAGGGTTTAGGGTTTAGGGTTTAGGGTTTAGGGTTCGTTGAGCAAGATAAACCTGGGCCCTAAGCCCCAAAGCCTATGAACCCTAGAGCCGATTTTCGAACGAAAACCCGACAGGGATGCGGGTCCAGGGTGTTCATTGCTGGATGCAACTCGGGGGCACTTTGGATCGAAACAGCTGCAAGCTGAAAGCCCGCTAAACCCTAAACCCTAAACCCTAAACCCTAAACCCTAAACCCTAAACCCTAAACCACCCTAAACCGGGTGTCGCCAAGTCACACGGCGGCCCTCTGCATCCCGATCCAGCTTGTGCTCCTTGCGCGGGGGGTTTAGGGTTTAGGGCTTAGGGTTTAGGGTTTGTAAGGCTTTAGGGTTTAGGGTTTAGGATGTGGAGGCTGCAGATGACGGGTTTAAGTTTATGGCTTAGGGTTACCCAGCTGTATACCCTAGCCCAGAAAAAGGTTAACCGTTTATATACAGTAGGATCCTATATAACCAAAAAGGTTAAACTACCCAGTCCCTAAGGTCAATTGGCCTGAGACCCTGACGAGCGGTGCTTCCGTTGTCATGGAGCTGGGCCCTTTCGGAATCAGTCAACCTCTATAGGGCCACCCGGGAGCGCAACAGATGTATGTAAACGAACTGCCACCAAGCCTGTCCTGCCTGAAACAAAACGATACCCTTTCCAAATTAGGCAACGTAGCCAGGAGAGTTCTTCCATGGTAGGTTGCATGCCGGAGGATTTCAACTTAGGCTGCATCGGGTCAAGGAGAAAGCAGCAGAACTTCTCTTGGGGTAGTTTCATGGTCCCTCAGTATGGGCGCCAGGGGACCCCTTGCAGACCCCTTGTATACCCTATAAAACCCAAGGGCCCATACTTCAGAACTCTTTCAAGGAGGTAGGGGACCATAAAAAGGCCCATGAAACTACAATCCCCAAACCCCAAACCGTAAACCCTGAGCCCTGAACCCTAAACCCTACCTGGACCCCCAAAGTATGTAAAAAAAACAGCCCAAGACCCTTAAAAGGGCTATTATTTTACATATTTTGGGGGTTGAGGTAAACCCTACGCGCCCCACGAAACTGGCGAACAGCCGAAACGGTGGTCTCTTTGGGCGGTCTCCTGCCGAAGCTTTTGCCAGAACGCATTCCCAACGCCGTTGCCGGCTTTCCCGACCTGGCCATGGGGTCTCCTTGAAAAGGATGAACTTCGGAATTTTAGGGTCTAGGGTTCTTTGACAGAGTACGTAGCCCTAAACCCTGAAACCCGAAACCCTGAACCCCAATCCGACTGCACTGCTGCAAAAGGCCTGTATCTGGATGATTTCGCCTCTGCGGACCTCAGGCATGTGCTGGGCCGCTGGTTAAGGGAGTTATACCATAACAAGGAAACCATCTCATTCAAAAAGTTTTGTCGCAACATGTAAGCATAAGTTCGGATTTCCCCCCCCACCCCCGTGTTTTTGTCGCAACATGTAAGCATAAGTTCGGATTTCCGCCCCCCCCCCCCCCCCCCCCCCCCCCCCTGCAACTTCCGGTTTGCTACTCATGTACCGCCTCCGAGGGCCTTGCGATCCGATCATGGCCCTTTGTGGTCCCTCCACTTAGCTTGGCTGCGCTTACGAGGGCAGTTGTAAATGAAAGTTTTTGGCTGCCGTAATTGAGAAACCCAATAAATCCAAAAAGGCTAAGGATCTAAATCTACAGTAAAGCACCACAAAGACTATAGAAGCATACACCAATCTGCTTGAAACGTGCGCACAACTACAACGGGTGGGGCTTCCTTGCGAATGACAGGGCTGCAAAGTGGTGCCATCTGCCTAACTGGCTCGTCCAAGGGTGGCTGGTGCGCCGCAACTGGCCGGACGGCTAGAGAATCAAGAATCATGATCGCAGTACGACCCCGACTACAAATTTCGACTATGACTACTACACGACTGTGTATCTGAATGACCCAACCCTAAACCCTAAACACTTTGGTAAACCCTAAACTCTAACAAGCTTCAGATTCTCTGATAGAACCAGACCCGGGTCCCCCACTGCGGACGGCATCTCGGAAAGCCTCCGAGCGCAGTGTTGCCACGCATTTCCGCACACACCGGATTTCTGGGTTTGCATATAGGGTCCACTGGCTTCTCATCCCTGCCCCCGCAATATTAAAGCCCCACACCCCCTCCCTTGTATACCCCCCCCCAAATCCCCAAAGGTGTTTTTTTATTAATTTTTATTTATTTATTATTATTGTTTTTTTTTTGGGGGGGGGTTCTGAGCGTGTACCCTAACAAACAGCCCGTCCTCCGAGCTTGCGGGCTCAGTCGGCACCTAAACCCTAAACCAAAAACCCTTGAGGCCCTTGAGTTTTGAAGGTTTCGGGCTTTCAGAGTCGGGGTTTTTGCGAGGGCTGGAGAGATCAGGCTTCCGGTTTCTGCTTCAGGCTTCCGACCCCCCCTAAGCCCCATCTAACTCGGTAGAGGTTTTGAAAGGGGCGGCTACGGGATCGGGTTTTGGGGCCAGCGTTTTTTTTTTTAATCCTGGGGAAGGATTAATAGTTAGAGTACTATAGGGCTTCGGGTTTAGGGTGAAGGACAAAAAGCAAAGAGAAGAAACGGCTACCAGCATCCGGTGGTTTGGGGATTCTTGCACTAAGGAGGTTTAGGGACACAGGTGCTTAATGGCTCTTTATGGCTACTAAAAGGGTTAAAGGCGGTTAAAGGGTTTATAAGGCTTAAGAAACGTGAGTAGGGGGAGTTGGGGCTTTAGGGTTTGGTGTGTTTTGAGTCGCTGGACCAAGGGAAAAATCAAGCTGCGCCTCTTTCCGCACCATGGCCCACAACTCGCGATACGCGTCCGAGGCCGCGGAAGATGCAGTTCGAGGCTTTAGGTTTAGGGTTTAGGGTTTAGAGTTTATAGGCTTTGGTTGGGATGTTCCCCCTTCTACTAACAGTCCTTAATCGGTGTTCTAGTACCCCCGACTGAAATCCGGATTAAGGGTTGTTAGTATAAGGGGGGTGCATCGCAAGGCTTTAGGGTTCAGGGAAGTTGCGAAACTTTAGGGTTCTTAGGGAGTCTAGGGTTCGCGCGTCAAGGGTTTAGGGCTTAGGTTGCGCCACTTCATGCTTGGGGTGTTTAAGGCTGCTGGGTGTCTGCAAAGGCAGGCCTTTCATGGATTCCGAGCCGATAAAATTATGGCGGACCCCTTGGCTTCTGAGATTTCCTCTTCCGAGAAACTACCAGATCCGAAAACAAATGGGACGGAACAGAAGCAACGGAAAAGCCCACTAGATACCTGCGTCGCGGAACCCAGGAACGTGAAACGCCATGTTACAAAGACTGTCCAGGTGCACAGTTCCTCTCGACCCAACCTTTTTTGAAGTCATAAACCGGAGCCCGATCAGCCAGAGAAAGTTAAGCATCCATTCTGATAGATTCAAAACCTAACTGAAACAACACACACACACACGACTTTGCAGGAAAAAACATACGAGCCCACTACTCTGAGATGGGGTGGCGGCGGGAACGCAGGCGACGCCAGCAAAGCACGACAGATTTATGTCAAGCTGTTGCCTTAGTAATCCTTCCCCCCTAGTATTAACGCCCCCCCTACCCCCAATATCAAACATTTTTCCATACACTAACAATGTAACCACGATGCGAGTATTTGATGTTGGGGGGGGTAGGGAGGGTGATTAGGGAGAAAGAACTAACCCCAACAAAGCTAAGCCCATCGGCCATCACAAAAGCTTGAAGACGCAAACCCCAGACCTTGCACAAAAAGCCTCAAGCCCGTCAGGCACCCTGTAAACCGGAGGCCCTTTCAGCATGTTTCAAGCTGTGAGAGTTCGTGAGAGTTCCAGGCGCCCAGGGTTGTGTGAAGGGCGATGGCGCGCAAGCGTCTGTGGTGATAGCTGCGTTGGAAGACAGGTTAGCTCGGAGTCGTCATAGCTCTCGAAGAGGTCGTGCTTAGATCGGCAGAGCCTGCGGGGGGGTCTCGGGGACTTCCCAGGGTTTTGTTATCCGACACAATCTACTGGCAGCCCTACACCCCAAGGGCTGTGAACCTCAAAAATCTCGAACCCACACCTCCCCCACCTGCCACCCACACATCCTCAGCCCACATACCATAATCCCATAGAGCCTTTACCGTGCACACCCTACATATTCTCTCCCCCTAAAAATAATTGAATAAACAAATCAATTCGTTTGTATACCTCTATGCACCCTAAGCATGCCCTATGTACCCCAGACAGCAGCCCGTCCATGCAAGCAGCTTCGAGGCGTCCGCGAGGGCGTCGGGCCCTCGTTCAAGCAGTGGAGTGTGGTCCAAGGTGCCTAGAGGACAGCGGTCCTTGGGAGGGGGCTGCTGAGGGGCTTATACAGGTTTTGAAAAAAAAAAGAGAGGTTTTCAAGGTTGTTTTCTATTTCTACCCGAATTTTCAGGATGTTTTGTGAGGCTCTTAAAGGACTTAACTTGTAGGGCTTCGGGCTTGGGCTGGAAGGACATCGAGTGGAGCTACCTCTTGACTGGCACAGGGCGTCGTAGCGTCAGATCAGATGGGACTCAGGATGCAGCTCCCATCACAAAGTTGAGGGCCTTGGGGGTTTTAGGGTTTTGGGGGGGGTGAACCCTAACCTCACCCCTAGGTTTGAGCTTTCCCAAAACTTCCGATTCCCAACTCGTCTGACAAAGCCCGCGAAAGAACCAAAGCTAAACGTATACTTTCCATCCTAAACCCTAAACCCTAAACCCTGAAGCCTCCCCCCCAAAAAAACGACCCACAACACCAGGGTTCCGTGCGGCCTCCGGTGTGTCAGCGTCACTGTCGTGTAGCGCCTTCAAGCACAAGCCGTGGCATCTCGAGCTGCTTGTTCTCTTCCTCCACAAAGCCCAGGAGCAGCTCCTTGTCACACTTACCAGGAAGGGCTCTTCGGCCCCATAATCTCCAGAATCAATCCCGAAAGAGGGCCTTTTCTATGGCTTGGCTACTCTAACAAGGGCACTATAAGGGAACCTTGAAGCAAAAAAAGGGAAAAGGGTACCACGGGGCTACCCAGATGGGGTTCTATGGTCTCCTAGCCCATGCTGGTACGGGCTGAGACCTGGTTAAACTAAGCTAACCTGTGGGCTATTTTAGGGGGTTTAGACATGAACATCTCAAAAGGTTCAGCCATACTCCGAAGATGAGGCGATGGAATCAAGGAGGCAAAAATAACCTCACTACCATCCCTGAACTCGGAGTAGGAACTTGAGGAGTTCTAGGCGGTCCTCATAGTGGTTGATTTGAGCCTCCATGGCATCTTTTGCCTCGTAAAAGTCGTCCATGTCCCCGTTCGCTTCAAGAAACTTCCACACATAAGCACGGCGGAAGAAAAGCTGCCTGCGCGTTGGGGCGGGGATACACTTGAGGGGTCGGAATAACTGCGAATAGTATTCCCTTATGGTCTCTTTAGAATTATACTAATATAACCCCCCCGCCCCAAAAAAAAAAACATTAAGGCCCTCGTATTACACTTGAGCGTTTTTGGGGCGTTGGGTTTCATGTCGGGGGTTTCGGGACTGGGGTGTCGCACAGGCTGTCGTGGACGTATGGCCCTCGAAACCTTAAACCCTGAACCCTAAACCCTAAACCCCAAACCCCAAACCTTAAACCCTGAACCCTAAACCCCACACCCTAAAGATCTTTCGCCAGGTTAGAACTAGGATGATCCATCTTAGGGCACAATGAACCTACCTATCACCCTATTGACGAAGCTCTACTTGGAGGTTCATGGGTACTTAGAAGCCCAAGTACAAGCCTACCCCTAAACCCTAAACCCTGAACCCTAAACTCATAACCTACTTAGAGGACTTCGGGGACCTTGGGGGGGGGGATAGGTACACTCATAATTGGGGTTACAAGTACCCTGAACCTCCAAGTATGGGCCTCCAAGAAAGCCTACCAGCACATCGGCAATAAACAGCTCACGATCCTTTGAAAACCACAGCCCAACACATGTTACTCAAAACATTCCTTGGAGTTTTCCAGAACTCAAAGTAGACAACCTTCTTACGAGACGGTCGCTACACCCGAACAAGTCTAAACCCTAAACCCTAATCCCTAAACCCTAAACCCTGTAACCCACTCCGAGGTGCAAGAACTTCTGGAACTGCTGGACCAGGAGCTCTCTCACTGCGGTGGTGTTACCCATCCTCGATGCCAGGCGTAGAATTTAGGCTGTGGGGTGTTAGGGTGTTAGGGTGTTAGGGTGTTAGGGCTTGGGGTCTAGGATTTTAGGGTTTAGGGTTTAGGGTTTAGGGTTTAGGGTTATAGGGTTTAGGGTTTAGGGTTTAGGGTTTACCAAGGTTTTACAAGGCCTGAGGTTGCCGTCACACTTTACAACATTCGGGGTACCTTGTGGGGGGGTCCTTATAGGGTGGGGCCCCCTAGTTATAAGTAGAGTTACAAGGGCCCTAAATTGTGTTATAAGGACCCTAAGTTAGGAAATAAGTCCCTTAACTACAGTTAGTATAGTAAGGGGGCCCCACCCTGTATGACAATCAGGGAGTCCTACTCTTTGGGTAGCTCATCTTGGGGGTCCTGTGGTAAACCCCCCCACATGGAGCCGAAGGTTCTCCCGGGATTGCGGTTTAGGGTTTAGGGTTTAGGGTTTAGGTTTTAGGGTTTAGGGTTTAGGGTTTAGGGTTTAGGGATTCCCTGTGAGCAAACTTGGAGCTTGGCGACGGAGTTCATTTCGAAGAGTGTTCAGGGCTTAGGGCTTGCCAGAGTTGCGGTTCAGGGTTTGTTTGGGGTTTAGGGGTTTGGGGTTTAGGGTTTAGGGTTTAGGGTTTAGGGTTTAGGGTTTAGGGTTCAGGGTCTGTCGGGGGTTCATAGGGTTTATAGGCTTCTCTTGGGCTCATTTAGGGCTTTACAGAATTTAGGGATTCGGGTTTAGAAGCAAAGGCGGGCTCGAAGTCGCCACAAAAGGTAAAGGCTACTGTTTAGGGTTTGGGGTTTAGGGTTTAGGGTTTAGGGTTTGGGGTTTAGGGTTTAGGGTTTCCTACTTGGAGGTTCATGGGTACTGATAAGTAGGGCTACAAGTAACCACCGTATCTAGTGCACTTATCACCCTACTGAAAACTACCCAAATGAACCTGCAAGTAACCCTAAACCCCAAACCCTGAACCCCAAGCTCTAAAGCCCAAAATCCTAAACCACAAGCCCTTAACCCTAAACCCCCTTGAGCCCCCAGGGGGCGCGTCAACTAGACCCATGAGTAACAGAGGAATAGAAAGGGTAACCTTTTTGGTTGAAAGGGCTGAGAAGGGAACCTAAACCGTAAAAAATGGGAATAAGGGCCTACTCCGGGCCCGAGTCAAGGCCAAGCAGCATCATCCCAAAGATGGGGCTCTGAGCCAAGGCATCATCGGCAGCTCGGCACATTGGCACCCCGACCTGACTTAAGCCAAAAGAAACACAAACAAACTAGACCCAGAACCCTAAACGCCTGCACACCTTAACCCCAAAATCCCAAAAAGGATAAACCCATAAACCCATACCCCCCCCCCCCCGAAAAAAAAAAAAAAAAAAAAACATAAACGTACAACCATAAACAGAGAAACGTAAAAATAGCTAAAACTCTAAACCCACAAACCCAGCAACAAAAAAACAAAACCCTAAACCCCAAAACCGATAAACCCTTTTGTGGTCTGGGGGTTCCAGAGCTGAGGGGCGTGTGGCAGGTCTAGAGAGTTGTTGGGCTTATAGGTACGGTTTTTGGTTTTAGGGTTTGGGGCTTAGGGCTTAGGGCTGGGGGTTTAGGGTTTAGGGTTTAGGGCTTAGGGTTTAGGGTTTAGGGTTTGGGGCTTAGGGCGTGGGGTTTAGGGATTCCAGGATGGGAGGTTCCCCCTTTAGACGAGCAGCTCCTTAATAAGTATTGTAGTATCTGCTGATTGTAATCCCTTTTGAGGACTGTTAGCATAAGAGGGAACACCCCAACTTGCAGTGTTTGGCGCATTTGTTTTTCTTTTGGAGGGGTGGGGGGGGGTTAGGACTTACAGGTTCTTCGGGGAACTAAAGGGGTTTGGGCTCGGTTGTTGCGGGTCGTTGGGATGAGGGTTCTGAGGCTTTATTTTGGGCAGGACTCACAACCCTAGACCCTAAACCCTGCTAAGAGCACGCCAGGCAACGAGCTACGCTCTGAAACTCAAACCGTCAACCCCTGACCCCTGAACCCTCAACAGCAAAGCGACCTAAACCCTAAACCCTAAACCCTATTTCCTAAAACCCTAAACCCAAAAGTCTAAACCCTAAACCCTAAACCCTCAACCCCAAACCCTAACATATGTCGGAGCACCCGAAGCCCTCACATCCCAAAACTGTAAACCCTAAACCCGAAACCCTAGATCTTAAATGGGCCCTGTTGAGCACAACAACAGCAGAAACCTTGAAAACAGGGACAGCATTAGAACAGCCCCTACACGAAGCTGATCTACACATCGGGTTCCCCATCAACAGCGCCATAAACACCACAATGCCCTGTATACTCAAACCCCAAAAACCCTAAACATCCTCACAATCCCCGATAAGTGGCCTGTCCCAACGTTAGGTTAAGGGTCCCAAAGCCCGAAAGCCAAGGAGCCACGTCAGCTTTGTAGCCCGGGGAAACACCCGGCGCGAACTTCAAGGGTGAAGATGGGCCCTGGTCCACTAACCTTGAGCTTACTTGGGAGGTTCATGGGTGCTTATAACCCGAACTATAGGTCTACTTGAATTCTACTTAGAGGACTTAGGCGACTGGGGCTGATAAGTGCAGAGTTGGGGTTATAAGTACCCTGAACCTCCAAGTATGGCCTTATCAAGGGGGTTTCGAGGGTGCCCAAGGCGGTATTCGAATTCGGTCATTAGTTGCGTGAGGGTTCTGAGGTTTTCCTCGGCTTCCTTTGGCCACCCTGCACCCAAGAGACCTCAAGACATCCCCTGAGTGGCCAACATAAAAACCTCAAACCCTTGAAGGACAAAAAAACCACCCAGGGAGCCTACCATTCAGATCTTTGGGATCTTTTGGGGTTTAGGGTTTTGAGGTTTTAAAAGAGAACTGTCAACCCTGAACCCCCCAGAAGCCTTCAACCCTAAACCCTAAACCCTAAACCCTAAACCCTAGACCCTAGACCCTAGACCCTAGTAGCCCTAAACCCTAGTAGCCCTAAATCTTAAGAAAGGTTCCAGGAGCCTCTGCAGCGACTGGGCCACATCTTCAGCCTTCACGATCTTTTCCTGGCCAAGACTGGCACATGGGTTGAGGCTTGGGGTTTGAGGCCTGGGGTTTGGGGTTTAGGGTTTCGGATTTTAGGGTTTGGGGTTTCGGGTTTAGGGTTTGGGGTTTAGGGTTTGACGGTTCTGGTTTAGGCGTTGGGGTTTGGGGTTTAGGGTCTAGGGTTTAGAGTTTAGGATTTAGGGTGCTGTTCGATTTATAGCTTTAGAGAGCACACATGGAGGTTCATCGGAGCGTTCTAAGTGGCGGCAAGAGTACCCCAAATAAGGTTATAACGACACTTTCCCTACTTATGTCCCTACTTAGAAGTACCCATGAACCCCCAAGTAACCCCTAAACCCCAAACCCCAAACCCTAAACCCTAAACCCTAAACCCTAAACCCTAAACCCTAAACCCTAAACCCTAATCCCCAAACCCAGTAGAGTCATCCTACCTGCAACTCTCTGTCTGACTACCCATGAAGCCCTATGGGCTTCGGCGCTTCGGGCCTAATCAGGGCTCCGGAGAGCCCTGCAGGCAAGACTCCCTAAACCCTAAACCCTAAACCCTAAACCCTAAACCCTAAACCCTAAACCCTAAACCCTAAACCCTAAACCCTAAACCCTAAACCCTAAACCAACAATCTACACCCAAAAACCGTAAACGCTAAACCCCGACCTTGTTGTTCTTTCGAACGTATGGGCCTCTGGCTGTGTGCCGCGCTCGTGCTCCGTGCGCTTCGCACCCTTCCCGCGCAGGAGGAACACCGCGGAGACATAGCGGTTCGTCTGCCTGTACCCTAAACCCTGAACCCTGAACCCTGAACCCTAAACCCTGTCCTTCCAGGACCTAATAATTAGGTTACTTGAGCCCCCAAAGAACTTCAGAGTTCGGTCCCAGGATGGGGTAGACTTCGGAGACTTGGTAGCCCGGGAACCATAAAACGTGGAGATACTTTGTGGTCCCTCAAGAAAATAGGTCCAACTTCAAAGGCGCTGCTGAAATAAGGTCCCAGTGTCAGGTGCGTGAGGGAGCAAAGGAGGCTCTTGGGGTGGAGCAGCTCACGGACTGTTTCGGCCACGGCACACGCGTGAGGGTGCCGGATGGGGGCCAGCGAGGCCACCTGGTATCGCAGCTTTGGCGTGGGTGCAAGGTGCACAGCCATTTCGGCCATGCTCAAGTGCAGTTGAGATGGGAATCTCACAGGGGCCGTGCACATGGAGATACACTGCGCGATTAACTTGTTCACGTTCTTGAGGTCAAGAGAAGAGACATCCTCTTTCGTCTCGCAAATGTCGTAAATGGCCTGGTTGTCCAGAATCAGAGACACATCTGTGGATTCTCCCAGGAAAAAACTTGCAAGAACGCAGTTGTATGGCTCCACCATGCTCGAGGGAAACATCGAAGGGTACACCACCTGAGATTGACAACTCTCTAACCCTCAACCCTAAACCCTAAATTCTAAGCTTTTCGAATTCCAAACTCTCAACCCCTAAAGTCCACAAAAACTTTCGGTTCCAGCTTGGGACCATGGATGATGATCGACAGTCTCTATGGGACCCAAAGATTGGGAAGCAACCGACACCCCCCCCCCCCCCCCCAAAAAAAAAAAAAGAAAAAACAACTAATAACCAAATAAACCCAAAACAAGCGAATGACGAAATCTGGGCCCTTGCCAAGCCTCATTAACTATGCCTCAAGCTCAAGGCACCCTCTTAAACTCCAAGAAGCCTGGAAGCACTCATTAACATACTCGTTTCTCACTCACCAACATACTCTGGTCTTGACCGTCCTGCACTTTCTAAGGCCCTAAACCCAAAACCCTAAACCCCCAAAATCCTAAACCCCTAAACCCCAAAACCCTAAACCTCCAAAGCAGCCCAAAACCCAAAACCCAAAACCCAAAACCCAAGACCCAAGACCCTAAACCCCAAGCCCTAAACCCTAAACCCTAAACCCTAAACCCTAAACCCTAAACCCTAAACCTCCAAGGTGGCCAGCACACGGGGTGGCAGATCACCTTCTTGTCGAAGGCATCACGAAGGCTCTGCAGGAGGTGGGTTCCGATCCCTGCGCCGGTACCTCCACCTTGCTTTAGGGTTTAGGGTTTAGGGTATAAGCCCCCTAAGTCCCCTAAGTCTTGGAGGTTCAGGGTGGTGGGGGCCCCTTGAAGGATTAGGGTTTAGGGCTCGGGTTTGGGGCTTAGGGTTGAGGGTTTAGTGCTTAGGGCAGTAAACGCGCCACAGGTGCCGAAGGCTTGGGTGACGATGAAGCCTTGCCTGAGCGATTGGGAATGGACGTCCAAGCTTAACCCCCCCCCCTACCCCAAACGCCAAACGCCAAACGTCAAACCCCACACCCTAAACCCTGAACCCTAAACCCTAAACCCAAAACCCTAAGCCCTAAACCCTAAACCCTAACTTCAAGGAACAGCTTCTAGACTTTGGGCTCTGGATTCTCTCAGCCCCACAATGTCACAAGCCCTGACTTGAGTGTTGGGGCCTTGTAGCATCTACCACCCCCCCCCCCCCCCACCCCCACAAAAAAAACAAAACCCTAAACCCTAAACCCTAAACCCTAAACCCTAAACTGAGGCCAAAAGAAACTCATGGGATTGTGGAGGGCAAAAAGCCGGGCAAAGGGAAGAAACAACCACAGGAGCAGCGGAGCCCAAAGGCTTTGTGGGCTTCCCGAGAACCGCGCTTAGCAACCACGAGTAGGGAGGAGATCCCTGGATCCAAGATGAGTTGCGGGTAGGAGCACCGGTCCAACGCCAACCGTACCTGCGGCGGTTGCTCGAATGGTTTCAGGGCCTTGTTGTTGCGATGGTTTAAGCCTTGACACCTCCCTTTTAACCCGAAAAACCTTACAAAACGCCCAAGCCCTAAACGGGCACGCTTGGGGTGTAGGACTGGTTCAGGGTTCTAAAGCCCATATCAATAGCCCGAAACCCGATAACCTTTGCCTGATCCAGGACGTCCTCGGTCACCTTCCCTTCCGTTGCCGCCTCCCTGCCGCAGAAGAAGTTGTTCTTGCAGTCATGCTTATACCTCGGTGGTTTCTGGGAAAAATGACACACGCCCTATCTTAGAGCCCAAAACCTTTCTTCTTGTCGCTTCTCGACGACTCCCCATCAAGGTGTTTGTAGCAAAAACCTACAAACATGTCTTGGGCTCTTGAGGTAAGCTTATATTGGGTTGAGGGCTCAGGGGTTCGGTTAGTGCAGGGTGTACGTAGTAGAGTAGCTTCAAGAGAAGATCCGCTCGCCCACGGATTATACTGGGGTTAACCGTTTAATTAGGGTTCAAGGTGTCGGGTTTAAGGTTAAAGGCATATGGGCTTCATATACAGGTACGTGGTGTTTCAGGGCTTTGGATCGTATCGGGGTGTAAGATTTTGGGTGTTAATCCTAAATTAACCCTAAACCCTAAACCCTAAACCCTATTGCTTGCAAAGTGCCCCAGAAGAGACTGCGGCAGGAAGAGTTGCGGATGCTGGGAGAGAAGCTCAGAGCGCGTTGTGGGGTCTGTGTCGACGAAGATCGCGCGGGGCTGGTGGAGGCCAGCAAAAGACTCGGAGAAGCACGTGTCAGGAGCTAAGTCGATTTCAGCTCCAGATGCTCTTTCTGCGTTGCGCGTGCCGTCCGGCAGAATACCGTGCTCTTGGCAAAGAAGGCGCCACGTCTCAGAGCCAATCTGGCAGCCAGCTTGGCCGACGTGGATGCTGATGCATTCGCCGCACGCTCGCGAGGACATGCGCTACTGCGCAGCAGGTGCTCGGAAATGGGTGGGCTCGAGACAAACGCAACAAACTCTGCTAAAGCGGACATGCTCCATGACCTCACCCTTGGGTCCCCCCGGCTTGAAGGTTCTTACGAGATGTGAACAGGGAGTTATAGGTAGCCCCATAAACAAGAATAAGCCACTGAGAACAAACCACTCTTCACCGGGCAGGACCGGCGTGCTCCAGGTTTTGAAAATGCTGGCCTCTTGGGGCCGAACTCGTTCTCAGTAGGGAATTTGGGAATTGGGTTCCCGAAGCCCTAAACCCCAAACCCTAAACCCTAAACCCCAAACCCTAAACCCCAAACCCCAAACCCTAAACCCGATAGAACCTCCTGGTAATGGGATTTAGAGTGGGGCGGGGGGCTTGAGCGATGCCTGCTTCCCATCCTTCTGGACGGAAGTCAACCCTAAAATTAGGGTCATACCCTACACAATTAGGAAGCCCTATTCAGCTAGGTAGCCCAAGGGACCAGTTTTTAGTGAGGGCACCCTTTTCGGGTTGGCTACTTTATAAGGGAACCCATTACCCAAAAAAGGGTAAAGGGTACCACTGGGCTACCAAGTCAGGTAATATGTAATATGAAACCCCAAACCCTAACCTTTTTAGGGTTCATTTGGTCCCCAAGGGATACAAAAGAACTCGCCAGTTGAGAACAAGGCTGCACCATGAAAAATTGGGTCCACCTGCTTCCCAAGACCCCGAAACATGAGATCCCAGATGACCTAGGGCCACAACACAGAAAACGCAGCTTTAAGCGTCTTCGGTACACAAATCCCATCGGAGCTCTAAACCCTACGTCAACGCCAAAGCACTTGGGCAATGGAGCTGCACAGGCTAGGGTAGACTAGTTTTTGGGGTTTAGGTTTAGGAACTTTAAGGCAACGCACAACGCACAACTCAAATGCACATGCGCACGCACATGCACGCACATGCATGCATAAATCCCCCCCTCTCTTCTTCACCTCCCTCGAAGGAACAGCTGAAGTGAACACAAGCATGCAACCCAAAACCCAAAACCCAAAACCCCAAACCCCAAACCCTAAACCCTAAACCTTGCACCCTAAACCCTAAAACGCCTGAGTCATGGTTCACATCACGGGAGAATGACCAACGCCTCTGAGGCACATCTGAAAAAACTTCTCGAGCTCGTAGAACACAAGAAAATACCCACTTTGGGTTATAAAGTCTACAACATAAATGCCTATAGCCAACCCAAACAAATAACACCTGTGACAAAATCCTAGTAGATACTACGAGTTAACCCTAAATATCGGCTTTTTGGGCGCGTCTTGCTGGTGCTTTGGTCGCGGCGCCAGGCGCCAATGGTGGAGTCTTAAACCCAACCCAAACAACTCTCAAGCCCTTTAAGGCCCTCAAACCTTGAAACCCTGTAAACCCCTATATACCAGCATAACTTAGCTTCAGAGCCCTTGGGCAGTCGATCTTCGACGCCCAGAGAAAGTTGTCAGAAAGAGTCATGCAAAGAAGGCAAGGCATAGGGTGAACACGCCGGGCAAGACGAGGGAGACAGGTGTAGCGAACGCTGCTGCCACCTGGGGGTCTGTCGTCCCCTGCACGCTGTAGACGTTGACCCCCCAAGTTGGGTCTGCGTTGGTGTCGCCCACACTGCAGCAACCACAGTTGTTGTCACCTCTTGATCCATCTGGTTTGAAGCCGTTGGCGTGCTGAAAGAAAGAATAGCCTTGGTCGTGGCACGTTTGAGCACATTCACTGATGGATCGAGCCCCCAACCAATCCGTATTGCACCAGCAAAGCTCGCAGACTGAGTTGTAGTCCACTCTTCCTGGCACTATTGCTCGAAAGACCTTGATTCCCCATCCGGAATCGCCGGCTGTCCACGAGAGGGAGGTGCAACAGGCGCAGTTGTTATCGCCCGAAGACCCGTCGCTTTTTGTACCGCTGGCATGTTGGAAGACAGTACTTTTCCTTAGTAGCCCAGTGACTACCAAAAAAAGAGAAGAAGGGCATCTTTTTTTGGGGTTGGCAATTATAAGGGAACCCATAACCCACCTAAACCCTAAACCCTAAACCCTAAACCCTAAACCCTAAACCCTAAGCCCTAAGCCCTAAACCCCTAAACCCTAAACCTCCCAAGAAAAAAAAAGGGTAAAAGGGCACCACTGGAGCTACGAAGTTTCAAGGCGCAGGCATCCCGACAGCTCTCTACCGACTGGAAGCCCAGCCATTCCACCGTGGGACACTCGCAGGTGCTGCAGATCCTATCATGGCTACACTCAGAAGGGTAGCTAAAAATTAAAATCTTAGCTGCCTTATTAAGAAACCCAATTAACCCAAAAAGGCTAAGGATCTAAAGTTGCAGTAAAGTACCACAAAGCTATTTTCTCCCCTTAGAACCTTCATAAACAATATTGCAGATCCTATATTCTCCCCTTAGAACCTTAGTAAACAATATTACTTCTTAATACCCTCTTGGGTTTTATATAAACAAAGATACAAGATAGTTCCCAAGGGGGATAGAGTATCTCTTCCACCTCAAACAACATAGTGGTGGTTGTGGTCGTGGGGCCGTCGGCCCGCGCCAGGCCGAAGAAGAACATGAGCAAAGCCATTACGTGGCTCTGCATGAGGTTTAGGGTTTAGGGTTTACCTGGACCCCCAAAGTATGTAAAAAAAACAGCCCAAGACCCTTAAAAGGGCTATTATTTTACATATTTTGGGGGTTGAGGTAGGGTTTAGGGCTTAGGGTTGGTAATCTCTAAGACCCATAAACCCTCAACCCCACGTCACCCCAATGATGATGGACACCACCGGACAAGCCGTCAGACGTTATGTGCAACACCTCAAGGCCTTGATGCCTGTCGTCTTCTTCGGATCAACCGTAATCAGAATGATACTCCTAAACCCTGAACCCTGAACCCTAAACCCTAAACCTCTTGCAAAGAAGTCCTGGCTTGAACCTTCCAGGCACTGCGTGTGCATCCGACACAAACCTTGCCACGCGTAGCAGGATCCTCACCAAATGAAACTGGAACCTACTATTTTCTGTAGAACCCCAAGAAACTAAAAACACAAAACTCCCCTTATAAGGAAGAATCTTTTGTGTTGCTTTGGAGGGGTTCTTAAAGTCTTTCTGCAAATAGAAGGAACAGGCAGGGCCCCATACCTGCAGTGGAAAGAAGTGACAGTTTTTTCAAGCTGGGAAGGCAGCTCGGAGACATGCTGGTCGCGAGCGCTGCATGATCCAACTAGGGTTTAGGGTTTAGGGTTTAGGGTTTAGGGTTTAGGGTTTAGGGTTTGGGGTTTGGGGTTTGGGGTTTGGGGTTTGGGGTTTGGGTTTGGGGTTTGGGGTTTATGGTTTAGGGTTTAGGGTTTAGGGTTTCGGGTTTAGGGGTGCGTCGGGCTTACAGGGCTTAACCCCTGCACCCTACGCCACCGCCCTCTAACGCGACTTTCTGGGTACAGGAGAGCAGTACCGGGGGTTGCTATCGAAGTTGAGTCCCTCGTGTTGACCCTAAACCCCAAGATCCGTCTAGAACGAAGCCCGAAACCCTGTGAACCCATGTTCTGGTATCAAAATAAGCCCTACTTGGAGGTTCATAGGTAATTAAAAGTAGTTCTATAAGTACCCTAAACAACACTCTGTGAATCCCCAAGTCATGTGAACCCCATAAACCCTAAGACCTAGACCCTAAACCCTGTACTTTCTTCGCGTCTCACAGCATCTTGGGACATCAGCCTGCGAAAATCAGCCTGCGAAAATGTCCACGCTGGCCGCCTGCCCGGCCCCGGGGTGGCGAAGAGCCTTCAAGATTAGAGGTTCGGCTTGAGGGTTTAGGGTTGAGAGTGTATGTGGCCTGCGAATGAGTTAGGATTTAGGGATTATCGGAAGTGAGCGGTGAATCTAAGGAGCGAATACTTGAGCGAGCGATTCACGGAGAGAAAGAAGTTTGGGTTTTCAAAGGAGCTCTTCTGAGTTTTTTTACTCGCCCCCTTATCGTAAGAATATATACGAGCGGGGTCATTGGGTTAGGGATAAGGGTTTAGGGCATCTTAGAGTTCAGAAGGTTTAGGGTTTAGGGTTTAGGGTTTAGGGTTTGGGGGGTGCTTAGGGGCTAGGGGGTTCAGGGACCGAGGATGGAACATGGCCATGCGTTGCGAGGAGCACCTTAAGGCACGACACGTCCCGAAGGTGATCCTCTTAAGGCCGTCAGAGGAATATACCATAGGGTTTAGTTAGGGTTTAGGGTCAGAATCCTGAAGATGATCCTGTTAAAGCCATCAGAGGGAGATAAATAAATAAATAAATATATATATATATATCTATATATATATCTATATATATCTCTCTATATATATATATAGAGGAGCCCTGTTGGACTCTTGGACTCTTGGCACCCTCGACCCTTGACCCGTAACAACCCTGAAGGGTTTTTGAAGAAGCAATCCACGATGCTACGGGAGCCTAGAAGGAAGCAAAAAGGAAAGATGGGAGAGCCCCCCACCCCCCACCCCGAATCATCTGCAACCCAAGCCTTAAAACCCTCAAACCCTAATCGAACGAATCTGAGGGTCAGAAATGGGAATCAAAACGAGCAGAGCGCTCAAACATGAAGCTATTTTGTTGGATACGAGCACCCTGGGAGCCTCGGACCGTCGCGCATGTCGCAAGTATGGCGGCTTACAACTCGCAAGCCCGATAATGTCTACCCATGACTCCTCCCCTGCAGGCATTACAGGAGACACACACCCACACACACAAACGTCTCTTTCGTCTATGCTGGAAGCTAGATGTTCACGTCCGAAACGATCGTCTCCTTTGGAGAGACTATTAAAACCTAGGTTGCCCAGTAATTAACCTGGGAATAAGACGGGTGCCCCTTTCTTGCTTAAAAGGGTTTATAAGAGGGAACCTAAAGCCCCCCAAAACAGGAATAAGGGAACCCTAAACCCTAAACCCTTTAAACCCTTTAAACCCTTTAAACCCTTAACCCTTTAACCCTTAAACCCTTAAACCCTGAAACCCTTAAACCCTTAAAGCCTTAAACCCTTAAACCCTGAAACCCTTAAACCCTTACACCCTTAAACACTTAAACCCTTAAACCCTTAAACCCTTCTCCCTAAACCCTAACCCTAAACCCTGAAACCCTTGAACCCTTGAACCCTTAAACCCTTAACCCTAAACCCTAAACCTTAAACCCTAAACCCTAAACTACTGGGCATCCTAGAAACCGCCGTTGTAGGCAGCACAAGCCATGGACAATGCAGCAAGATCAGCTCCTCAAGCTGTTGCAGCGCCGTCCAAGACCACGACAAAATTGGGTTTATGGTTTAGGGTTTAGGGTTTTCACAAGGGTTTAGGGTTTAGGGTTTAGGGCTACCAATGCAGGCAAATCGCACAAAACCGTTCAACAAACGATAATAACCCCCACATTGCCCTTAGAAGTAAGAATATGTTTCATGTTGTGGCAGGTTCTTTAAAGCGATTCGCAGGTACAGGTCACAGCGGGGAGTCTCTGGATGGGTCGTCGTACGAGCCTGACTCTGCCAGGGCCGGGCGCAGATAAAAGGCTGTAGGGCTTTTGCCACCCTCCTGGAAGACCATCTCACCCTCCTCGATTGGGGGTTTCCGAGATTAGGGGTACCCCGAAGGGTCCTTCTTGAAGGGGATTTTATTCAAACTTGTCGATTCGGGGGTGAAAAGGGATACCCCTATTTTCGTAAACCCCCAATTCCGCTTGGGGTCAGGGCCTGTAAGCGTTTAGGGTCTAGATTCTTGGGAACGAATGCCACTGATCTGGGGATGAGTTTGGGCATCTGGCGCCCTGGTGCAGCACTCGACCGTGACTAGCTTCTAGCTGCAGATACCCTGCCTTGCGGGTTCATCCTCGACTTCTGGTTTTAGCTTTTGGGGATTATAAGGTGTATAAGGAACCTTGGAGCGGGCCTGCTAAGGGTGACCTCCAGTGACAACTTGGCTTTCAACCCCAGTTATAGTCCAACCAGCCTGCTCAAGCGTGGCCAGAGTCCCCCGAGCCAGAACCCCTAAACCCTGAACGCTCCTCGGTGACGTTGGCCACCTTGCACCTGCAGCTGAGTGAGGTTTAGTTCAGGGCTTAGGGGTTTAGGGTATCTGGGGTTCAGGGGTTTCAGGCTCTAGGGCATGCATCCATATATATATATATACATATATATATATATATGTATATATAGCACATACATACATACATACATACATACATACATACATACATACATACATATATACATATATCATCTATCTATCCATCCATCCATCCATCCATCGATCTATCTATACATACATACATACATACATACATACATACATACATACTGTATGTCTGTATGTATGCATGTATATATATACATATAACTAATTATAATCATGTATAATTATATATCTGGGCCATTCCTCATGGGTTCTTACCAGCCGGGCACTTTCCAGGGCACTGAGCCCCGCGCCCGTACCAGCCGCAGCCCGTCTCACCTGAATCTGCAGATGCAGCGATGACAACCTGGGCGTTTAGGGTTTGTCCGGGTTTAGGGTTTAGGGTTTGGGGTTTAGGGTTTGGGGTTTAGGGTTTGGGGTTTAGGGTTCTGGGTTGCTCACCTACGAAAAGGGTGCCCTGTTTTGTTGCAACGGGTTCAAATGGGATCCTTGCCCTGAGAGAAGGAATACGAGAACTATTGGGCATCCTAGCAGCTCGGTCGCCAAAGTAGGCGCAGGTGCCGTCCTTGCTGATCCCCGCCGGTGCCCGCAGGTAGAATCGTGGCTGGAACGAGACATCTGAGCCGCGGTTGAATTGCAGGCAATCGCCGTCATGGCCGACGCTGCAGCCATGCGCACCGCAGAAGGGCGACAACACATCGTTGAATCTGCACAGCTTGCCTGAGTGTCTTGTGTTGAGGCAAAATACGTTTTTGGCATTCCCCGCGGCAAAGCAAACAGCTAAGCAGGAGTGCAGGCCGTCAGGCAGTCTCCCCGAGTTCGGGGTTCAATATCTTGAGGAGAAAGATCCCTAAAAAAACCCTAATCCTAAACCCTAAAGCACCTTAAGCCTTCTCTGCCGCGCTGCGTCTGCCACCTCCTGGCCGTCTTGGCAGTGCTTCTTGGCCCGGGATCACGCAGCGGCAGCTGTCTTTCTGGGCTTTGCAGGGGATGTTGGAGGGGAGGGGTCGGGGTAGAGCATGGGTGCAAGTACACTCAGGGAATCTCTATATGGGCAAACCCTAAACCCTAAACCCTAAACCATAGTCTTGATAGCTTCGGGTTTCGGCGCCTGTTGAAGTAGAAAGCGCATCTCGGGTGCACCCACGATAGTATAGACCGCAAGGAGAAGGGATCATGAAGGCCTGCTCTGTCTCGCCCCCTAAACCCTAAACCCTAAACCCTAAACCCTAAACCCTAAACCCTAAACCCTAAACCCTAAACCCTAAACCCTAAACCCTAAACCCTAAACTGTTCGACATCCAATTCTAAGTCTCATAAGCCCGAAGCTGAGGCTCCAAGCCAGAGTCCTAAGCCCCTAACTCCCAGGGACTCCTACAGGGTGGGGCCCCCTTACTATACTAAGTGTAGTTAAGGGACTTATAACCTAACTTAGGGTCCTTATAACCCAATTTAGGGCCCTTATAACTCTACTTATAACTAGGGGGCCCCACCCTGTATAAGCCCTGTTAGTTGGCATCTTCCCCGCAAACTACTAACAGCCTCACTAGGGACTATGAGAGGGGTACTATAGTGCCTTTTAAGGAGATGCTAGTATCCAAAGTTACAAAGAGTCCTTTATAAGGAATCCCTACTAAGGACCGCTAGTATAAGCCCTAGAAGGTTGGGATGTTCCACCTTTTCCTAACAGTCCTTAATGGGAATTATAGTAGGGGGTACGATAATCCCTATTAAGGACATCCCAACCTAATATAGGGGCCTCATCAATTAAAATAGGGTATTGAGGGATTAATTATTGTATACAGTATATTTATACAGGGACCATCAGCGAATTATGGTCGTAATTGTTCCGACCCCTATATTACCGTTTCTAGCCCTAAACCCTAAACCCTAAACCCTAAACCCTGAACCCTAAAGCCTAAAGCCTAAAGCCTAAAGCCTAAAGCCTAAAGCCTAAACGTAAACCCTAAACCAAGCCCTATGGCAAGTTCGGCGCCCAGCTTCTCGGACTTGAGTGGTGTAGTCAAAGAGCACTCGCCCGGTCTGCGAATCGATGCCCCCGGCGGCCCAGCAGAACCTGGAAGGGTCATCTTCCCTACAACTACAGGGCGGGGCCCCCTTACTATACTAACTGTAGTTAAGGGACTTATATAACCCAATTTAGGGCCCTTATAACTCTACTTATAACTAGGGGGCCCCACCCTGTAAGGCTCAAAGTAGCCCAACAAACCTATATATTTCGGGTGTTTAGGTTTTTACGGCTTAGGGTTTAGGGTTTAGGGCCCAACAAACCTTCTGATGCTCCCCCTTATACTACCAGTCCTTCATAGGGATTCTAAACCCCCCATTTTTATCCCGTTTAAGGGCTGTTAACTTAAAGGGGAACATCCCAAGCTTAGGGCTTAGGGTTTATAGGGCCGTGTTTCAGAAGGCGTATCGGAATGAACGAAAACATCACTGCAGCCATCCGAAATGGAGCCCGAGCGGCGCGCCGCAGGCGGCCTCATCGGCAAATCTCCCAGAAAAGAGAACCTCGGCTTTTCTGAATCAGTTTAGGGTTTAGGGTTTAGGGTTGAGGGCTTCAAAAATCATGATCTTAGCAGTCGCATCATAATGACTAAGTATGGTTCGGGCATCGGCATCCCTGCCCAAAGGGTGCATGTACCTTTATAGTCTATACTTGGGCCTTGCAAGGGTCTTTCTATATATATATATATATGTATATGCATACGTAGTAGGCTGGGCTGGCTTAAAGGATATATATATATATATTCAGAGTGTCGCTGTAGGACCCAAGTATGTACCATACAGGTACAAGGACCCTCTACTCCCCCAACAAAAAAAACCTTCTTCCTCATAAGGGCAGGATAGGGATGATTACTTTTTGGGGGGTTCTCCAGCACATAGTAGCAGAACAAAACCCTAAACCCTAAACCCTGAACCCTAAACCCGAAACCCTAAACCCCAAACCCGAAACCCTAAACCCTAAACCCTAAACCCTTAGGGTTGTGCAGAACCAAGAGGCCGTCTCCGGAAACTCCGGCACTTCCCCGAGCCGACAGGAGACGGACTGGGGGAGCGCGCAGAAGCGGCGCTTGTCCCGGCCTCTTATGGGGGTTCTTTAGGGTTTAGGGTTTAGGGTTTAGGGTTTAGGGTTTAGGGTTCAAGGGGGGGGGTGTAACCTAAAGTTCCCTAGTACTCCCAACCACTCCCTAAGCCTCCCGCAGGTTCCCTGGGCACCTACCCCCCCCCCATATGATAAACCCTAAACCCTAAACCCTTAACCCTAAACCCTAAAACCCTAAACCCTAAACCCTAAACCCTAAGAGGACCCTACGAGGCCTGGATTGCTCCAGGGATTCCTGGCGCCCTCGGGGCCGACGCAGCGGCAGCTGTCGGATTTCCTCGCTGACGTTTTTGGGGGGATTAGGGTCTAGGGTTTAGGGTTTCTATAGGGTTTAAGGTTTAGGCTTTAAGGTTTAGGGTTTAGGGGGCGTAGGGGAGGGGGGGAAAGGTTTGGAATGAAAGCCTTTGGGGTTTAAAGCGGGGCTTGAAGTACCTCCGAACCCGAAACCCTGAACCCTGAGCCCTAAACCCTAAACCCTAAACCCTAAACCCTAAACCCTAAACCCTAAACCCTGAGCCCTAGTGAAGGCTAAAGGCTACCCCACGCATGAAGCTAAGTTTCAGCGTCAGGGTGTAGTCGAAAGCCACGCCCCCGGCTGTGAAGCATGCCTCCGCGCACTGCGACCTGGGTGTAGGGTTTAGGGTTTAGGGTTTAGGGTTTAGGGTTTAGGGTTTAGGGTTTAGGGTTTAGAGAGGTTGGTTTCCCGGCCCTCAATAGGGTTGAGGGTTTAAAGGCTTTAGGGAAAAATTCTGAGTAATGTTGCACCCGCAATATTCTAGGGGGCCGCTATTATGAAAAGTTTTTCGGCTATTCAGGATCTGGACCCTTTGTTTTGGAGGTCCGCTATAATGAAAAGTTTTCGGGCCGTGACTGTTTTTTTGAGGGTGTCAGGAAGGCATAAGCTTCTCGAGAAGGAGAGATACTTGAAGCCTGAAGCCTCGACCTGTCCAGGATCTCCGACAATCTTCTTTTTTCAGGGCGCCTTTTCTTTATAAATTCCTTACTTAAAACTAGATGATTCCATAGGCGAATCATATCCGGAAAGGGGGTACCTTACGGAGGCCTCCGGACACACTTTAATACCTTTGTTTGGGGGCCCGCTATAATGCAAGTCTCCCGGGGCCCGGGGCTCAGTCCTTCGGTTTTCAGGAAGGCATAAGCTTTCTCGAGAAGCAGGGATACTTGAAACCTTTCCAGGGTCGGGGGGTAGCTTAGGGAGGCCTCCGGGCTCCGGACCCCTCCCCTGCCTGACTGTTTGGGGTCTTTTTTTATTCAGGGTCGCGACTGTTGAGGGGGGAGGGGGGGGGGGTAACTTATTAAAGCAGGTCCAACATTAAGGTTTAGGGCTTAGGGTTCATGGGGTTTAGGCTTGGCGATGGCTGTGGGAAAAGACATTAAAGAGTCTGAGTTGCCCCCTTACACTCACTAAGCGTTTGGGGTTTCTTTTGTGGCCAAACATGATTCCTCCTCAACTCCCCCCAAAAAAGTGCAAAAAGCTCCCAAAGGGCGCTGCCGAGTGACTCTTTATTGAGGTTCCTCTGAAGCAGGTAGGGGCCGGCAGCCTGGCCCGCGTAGCAGACTTGTGGATTGCCTTGCGGTTCCTCCGTTTGAAGAAGCGTCACGTCCGTCTCAGCATCCGTTTGCAAGAGGGAAGCCTCAGTTGCTCAGGATCCCAGAGGAGCTAAAGGCCAACTTTTTGGGATTCTGTAGGGAAAATATCATACCCGGCTGATTTTTGGGATTCTGTAGGGAGTATAAATACCCAAAAAGGCGGTGAAAGGTTGCCTACTCTACTACCAAGAAGCTTTGGGAGGCGCGTCGAAGGTGCAGAACTGTTTTGTGGAGTGATGGTTCACGGTCGGAGCCCGATGATGAAAACATTGGCAGGAGCTCTGGCTCGCCGTTGAATCGACCTGGAAGGCCAGGAGGCTTGGCTCGGAAGCTGCGGAGGCAGCGGCCCGGCAAGCGCCAGCACAGACCTCCGCATCAGTCCAGCTCGTTTCCTGAGTTGCTGAGCTCATAAGCCCCCCCCAAACAGTGTGTTCTGTAGGGGAATCGAGTATCCCAAATGTAAAGTGTATTCCCTCAGCTACTAAGTTTCAAAGAGGAGGTCTTCCGGAGCCACGGTCGCCTCTCCTGCTTCGCAAGTTGCCTTGGCGGGCTTTGCACAGTACCGCCGCTTCTTGCCTCTGCCCGGGTCGTCTTGCGGGTGCTGCGCGCCCTCGGAACCCACGCAGCGACAGCTGTCACGAGTGTTCGCGAAGACGACGTCAAAAGCCACCCCGCCACTGGCGAAGCACGCTGCCGCACAGGACATCTCGGCTGCTTCGGTCTTTCCGAACTTCCTCCTGCCAGGACGGGGCTATTATGCCCTATTTCCCCTTAAAAAGGCCCTTTGTATAGGACTGATTATGTGGATCATAGGGCCTACCTAATAGCCCATCCTCCTGAGGCCGTTCAGAGTATTGACTCGGCAATGAATCTATGTTCAGTTGCATTGACATGCTGCGTGAACAGAAGAAGACGTGCATCTGCGGTCTAGGTTATTACGTGGTGAATTCAGGGAGAACAGCTACTAAATGAGCTCAGGTTCTGGAAGAGGAAAGTGCTCCCAGCTTGGATTTGGCCTTCCGCACACACACGGGGAACATCATACTCCTCGCCCTCCATCACTTTCACGCAGACGTAACCTGGCCGCATTCCGAGAGAACAAACCTGAAATTTCCCAGTTCAATTTGTGGGAGTCATGCGGGGTTTACGAAAAAATAGGGGACCCCCTCATATGGACCCCCAAACAGAAGTAGAAGGATCCCCTTATAGTAAGGACCCTTACTAAAGCACCCCCTGAGATCGCAAACCCCCCCCCCATGTGTGGGTCACTCACTTTACTACTAATTGCTTAAGAACACCGAAAAATAGAAATATTCTTCCTTGTTAAGAGAAATATAGGGATTACTATTTGTTTTTGTTTTATCCTTTTGGGGTTCTTAAGCACATAGTAGTTTACGAGAGCCCAGCAGCCAACATCTTGGACACTTTGCACCTGCAACTCGAAATCCGGCTCCACGTACCTGCACCATTCTGGGGGGTACGCTTTACAACATGATCCTTTTTTCCTTGGTGGGTTGAAGTTGAAGTATTTATAAACATGTAAAGTTTTGTGCCTTATTGGGTTGAAGTCTTCGGAAACATGTAAAATGATTTTCAACGATGACCCAGGTGCGGGTTAAATCTCAGCCCACGCTCGGCATCTCCATAACAACCTGGCTGGCGCACTGCCATGAAAGTAAATAGCCGCTCAGACCTACTAGCACACTCTTCGAGACTTAAATCAGTAGAAAGATTTTCCCGCCGTAATCCCTGTATCACACAGGCAAGCTGTAAATCTGGCTTCGTAGTCTGCAACGAGATCTCTTAGTGAACGCACTGAGTAGGCTTACTGAGACCCACCTTCCGGGAGGTTCGAGTCTGGCGCAGGCTCACTCTCGCACCATGGAGAATTTGGCTCCTCTCAGAGACTCCAAGACCCCTTAATTCAGGAAATTCCCTTAAATTATAATGGGAACCCTAATATGATTCAAGATGTATTCCTTAATTTAGGGGTTTTGCAGTCTCTGGGCGCTCCCGGGCCATCAAACCAAACACAAACAAGCGGACATGCGCACGCTAATTTGGGCTTAAGTGCTTTTCCACCAATAGCTACCAGGTTCAAGAGCTAACAGCCACCAGAACCCTTAGGGTTTAGACCAGTCTGCCCACCCTAAACCCTAAACCCTAAACCCGAGACCCTAAAACCCTAAAACCCTAAAACCCAGGCTTTGAAACGTCCGCTCCTTGCCGGCACACTGGATGCCCAAGGCGTTGGCAGCCCGAGCGCATTGCTCCGAATCCTCCACGATGCTCCAGCCCTGTGCCTCGGTTTAGAGTTTAGGGTTTAGGGTTTAGGGTTTAGGGTTTAGGGTTCACAATCTTCAAAGCTCAAGTCAAGGGCTTCGGGTTCCGGGTTGAATCGTGCATGTGAATCCTATTTGCATACTCAACTACACAGAGAGTACCACAACTCGAAAATCTTGATTGCGAAGAGTTGCCACGCAGGAGGACCCAGAGCCAAATTGCTTGAAGGTCTCCCGCGCGTTTCGGTAGCACACCTGCCAAGGCACATCTGAAGAGGTTTAGTGCCTTAGGGCTTCTGGGGCTTCTCGGACTGCGATGTATAGAGAACTCATGTTCAAGAACAATTTTCGGAACTCATGAATGCTTAATGCTTTGGTGCAGACACTCGTCCTCTGAGGTGAAGCTTCCGGAAAGCCGTTGCGAACACCCTGACTTGGGATGGTCTTTGAAAACAAGTCCTGAACATTCCTGAACCCCATCGCGTAAAAGCGGATGGGCAAGAAAATGCCCTAAAATGGAAAGCCGAAGCCCTCAACCCTAAACCCTGAACCCTGAACCCTGAACCCTGAACCCTAAACCCTAAACCCTAAACCCTAAATCCTTAACCCCACACCCTCACACCCGACTTCGCGGGGCACCTGGCTCTGGCCCTGCATGGCGCCAGGGCCCGTGGTCTGCATGTTCCAGGCCAAGCCGTCTGGACAGCAAGGAGGGTTTTAGCAGTTTGGGGTGCTAAACCCTGACTCAACCCTAAACCCTAAACCCTGAACCCAGGGGTATTTAGGGGTAACTCTAGGGCTTAGGGATGTTTGGGGCTTCAAGGGTAGTAGGGGTGTTTGTTGATAGGGCTTTTTTGGGTGCAGGATGCTTGGGGAGTTTGGGGTTTGAGGGCTAACCCCCTTCCGCCCGGGTACGCTGTAGCGGTTTGGGGCTTTGGGATGTTTGGGATGAAGGCCTGAACCTTAGGGTCTAGGAACTGCGCAGGGCCATGATACAGGGGATCCCCATATAAATACACTATAAACACGCCCAAAACCCCAGTCAAATGATTAAGGCACCCTGAACCCTAAACCCTAAACCCCAAACCCTAACCCCCAAACCCTAAACCCTAAACCCTAAACCCTGAACCCTAACCCCTCACCCCTAACCCCTAGCCCCTAGCCCCTAACCCCTAACCCCTAAACCCTAAACCCTAAACTACCCTAAACCCTAAACTACCCTAAACCCTAAACCCTAAACCCTGAACCCTACACGTAGCAGCGGGGCCTTCTTGGGTGCCGAAGCAGCCGGCGGGCCGGGTGCCCTCACCATCAACGGCCTGGCAGTCGTTCTGGCACTCCCAGCCTGGGCGTGCACAGGGTTTAGGGTTTAGGGTTTAGGGTTTAGGGTCTAGGGTTTAGGGTTTAGGGTTTAGGGAAACTAAGGGGGTTAGGGTTAGAGGTTTAAGAGTTTAAGGTTTCTGCAGTCATGGGAGGTATGGAAGAGTTGAAGGTTATCATAGGGCGGTTAGCCTAACCCAGTTAGGAGTTTAGGGTTTAGGGTAACCCGGATAGGGGTTCAAAGCTTCAAGGGTTTCTGGAGTCACATGAAGTATGGAAGAGTTTAGGGCTTAGGGCTTATAGGGTGTAGAGGGGCGCGCGAGAAAAGACCGGCAGTCGGAAAGAACCGTGATTCTCGCAAGAAAAGAACCACAAGAATCTCCCAAAACCCTAAACCCTAAACCCTGCAGAGAAGCCCACAAATCTCGCAGCTCTTGCGCATTGCGTGGCACTTGTCACCTGAGCAGCGGAGCTTCGGGATTCGTTGCATCCCTCTGGTCCGTGAAGCTTTTGACTGAGGAGCTCAGTGCCTTTTTCCAAGGACATGTTCTGGACCCTTGAGCCTATCTATCCTAGCATCAGGCATCCCCATCCTTGTTTCAAGCTCCTTTGTCCGATCTAGCTGCCAAGGAATCACAAGTGAGTCACAAGTGTGGGTGAATGCGCTCAAAAACGGGGCTGCCGGAGGGGTTTGGTCTACAATTACTCCTTTAGTTTCGCAACTTTGTCTGCCAGAGTGACGACATTCCAGCCGTGGCTGTCGCAGTCGCCGAACTCGAAGGCCTGGAAGATCTCTTGCGCCCGGGTGCAGTAGCGGCGGCCGAGCACTCCGGCGTCTGGCGAAGCTTCTCCTCGAAGTGTCAGAAGAGGAACCAGATGTTCATGGGAATGGTGTATTTGGCTGATGTATACTATAACGATATGGGGGGTTTCCGAAATTGGGGCTGTCTTCTTGGGGTTCTGATTATGAGGGAATCCCCCCATTTGGGGTCTAAATTCGGGGTCCCTCTTTTCGTAAACTCCCATATGGGGACTAAAGGAGGATCATCATGGCAATGATTTTCGGCTGATGGACCACAGGACGCATGTCAGGGCCGGCTCATACGCGTCCTATAACTAGGGGCTAGGATTAGGGGAGACTCTTGGGGATCTAGACCCTCTGGATAAGGTCCCTGTTTCAGAGAGCCAGAAGAGGGTTAAGAAGGGGTTCCCTTTTAAGGGTCCCCCTTATCCTACCTAGGAATCAGAACCAATTCGGAGGTCCTCTTCTTTGCTGGGAAGGAACCGAAAAAGGGCTTTGCTGGGGAGCTGAAAAGGTGACAGTTATTGAGAACCCGAAGCCCTCGCCTAAAGCCCAAATTTTAAACCGCGAGTCCAGCACAACGCCACCGATTACAGTGTAGGGATCACGTGGAAGCACAAAAAAACCCCTACTAGTTCTTTTTCTGGAGGTTGCCGCCTGTAACCTGAGGACAGAAACGGCTTTGGCATAAAGCTGTTTATCACGGGGATCCTAACCCTTTAAACCCTAAACCCTAAACGCTAAACCCTAAACCCTAAACCCTAAAACCTTATTATAATAAACCTTAAGCTCGAAACCCTAAACCCTACCAAAAGGGAATAGGAGTACCTCTGGGCATCCTGGCCTGGTCTTTGGGGTTTTGGTGGTCTCCGAATTTCGAGCGGCTTGATGAAAAGTACGGGTTGTCACAAGACCTGCACAAAACCCCTGCTCCTCCCCCCACAAAGTATAGAAGACTCCCATGTAAAAAGGACCCCCTGATTTTCGGAAGCCCAAGTTGCAAATCAAAATGCAGCGTTTGAAAGCCTAAACCGTAAACTCCCCGAACCCACTGCTTTGCCGCGCAGATTCCTTTGCCCACGCAGCGGCAGCTGTCTTTTCTCGGTGTCAGTGTGAAGTCGAAAGCATAACCACCCGCAGTGAAGCCTTCGGTTTAGGGTTTATTGGGCTTTGGGTTTAGGGTTTAAGGTTTAGGGTTGAGGGTTGGTAGCGGGGCAGTTAGGGTGTTGAGGGCCGCGAGAAACCCGCCTCTTGTAGACTGTCATCTCAGTGCTACTAACCCTAAACCCCAAACCCAAATCCCCAACCCTAAACCCCAAGCCCCTACACCCCCAATCCTAAATTCTAAACCCTAAACCCTAAACCCTAAACCCTAAACCCTAAACCCTAAACCCTAAACCCCCTGAAACATCACCCGAGAAGCAGGCGCCGGCGCACGCGGCCTCGGTGAGGTAGCTCCTCTCAAAGATGTAGGGCATCTCCTCGGGTGCCGAAAGAACCATTCAGCAGGTTTAGGGTTTAGGGTTTAGGGTTTAGGGTTTAGGGTTTAGGGTTTAGGGTTTAGGGTTTAGGGTTTAGGGTTTAGGGTTTAGGGTTTAGGGCTTAGCCATGTGCATGTTTAGAGTTTAGGGTTTACAGGGATCAGGCACTCTAAACACCAAAGGCCCTGAATTATGATGAGAACCCGAAAATTAGAACCCCCCCCCCAAAAAAAAAAACAAACTCCAATGGCAGCCCAGCTTCAGCTTCCCCAGCGATGCCTTACATGTCTGGTCTTTAGAAGGCTATGGACCTAGGGTTTAGGGTTTAGGGTTTAGGGCTTAGGGCCCCCAAGCTCTGAAGAGCGCGAAAGCCCAAGACAAAAAAACCTGGTCACTTCCGAGACACACTGAACTGCTTGAGCAGGTCGCGTGCAGAAGCTTGAAGTCCTTAGCTTGCTTCCGAGACGCAGCTCGATCTGGCTGTGTCTGGCTTATTGAATTAGTAGTAGTAGTAGTAGTAGTAGTAGTAGTAGTAGTAGTAGTAGTAGTAGTAGTAGTAGTAGTAGTAGTAGTAGTAGTAGTAGTAGTAGTAGTAGTAGTAGTACTAATTAGTAGTAGTACCTCTTCTCTCTCCTCTCTGGCAATGCAACGTCCCCCAGACGACAAAAATATCCTGAAGCACTCCGCCCTGCGGAACGAAGCCAAAGTAAGGGCATCCTGCGGAAAGGTTTCCCGTACCTGCCCTGACCAAGAATATTTGTTCGGGGCATGGTTCTCGGACGGCATTTGGGGGTCCTTCTGAAAAGGGTTCTATACTATGTAGGGGATCCAAAAAAGACAGACGGACCCTAACCCCAAACCCCAAACCATAAACCCGAAACTCTAAACCCTAATCCGACACCCTAAACCCTAAAATAGTAGAGAACTCCCCAAGCTATTCGTAAAACCAAGCCTCGAAGAGTCCTTCGGCACCTGGGCATCGCGAGCACATCGGCAGGTGCCCTCCGCATTGAAGTCCAGGGCCAGACCACGCAGGTCTCCTGGGTTTAGGGTTTATATAGGGTTTAGGGTTTAGGGCCTGGGGCTTGGGGCTTAGGGTTTGGGGTTTAGGGCTGGGTGGTAAAGGGAATTAGGCCCTATTCGCCCCGTTTGTAGCCCCCTTTGAAGGGTTTTTCAGGGGAAGTTAAAGTACATGGCTTCGTGTGGCGAGGAATGGCAAGAGTCGTCGTAGTACGTAAGAGGAGTAGGAGGAGGGAGTAGGAGCAGGGGGTAGGAGGAGGGGGTGGCGGTAGCGGTAGCGGTGGCGGTGGCGGCAGTGGTGGTAGCGGTGGCGGTTGTGGTTGTGTAGTGGGAGTGGGAGTGGCAGTGGTAGTCGCAGTCGCAGCCGTAGTCGTAGTCGCAGTCGCAGCCGCAGCAGCCGCAGCCGCCGCAGCAGCAGCAGCAGCAGCAGCAGCAGCAGCAGCAGCAGCAGCAGCAGCAGCAGCAGCAGCAGCAGCAGCAGCAGCAGCAGCAGCAGCAGCAGCAGCAGCAGCAGCAGCAGCAGCAGCAGCAGCAGCAGCAGCAGCAGCAGCAGCAGCAGCAGCAGCAGCAGCAGCAGCAGCAGCAGCAGCAGCAGCAGCAGCAGCAGCAGCAGCAGCAGCAGCAGCAGCAGCAGCAGCAGCAGCAGCAGCAGCAGCAGCAGCAGCAGCAGCAGCAGCAGCAGCAGCAGCAGCAGCAGCAGCAGCAGCAGCAGCAGCAGCAGCAGCAGCAGCTTCACCAGCCGCAACAGGAAGCAAATGTAGGGGGAGTTTTTTCATGGGACCAAGAGTTTCTTGTTGGGGGGATGACAACCTTTGTGCCATTCTCGTTTTTGGGGAAATACTCGGTTTGTGACTTGGGCTCTTTGCCGAAGCATTCATGTTAGCAGTGCACACGAAAGCCTTCTGAACCCTAAACCCTAGCCTAAACCCTAAACTCTAAACCCTAGTACCCTAGTACCCTACTACCCTAATACCCTACTACCCTAATACCCTAATACCATAATACCCTAATATCCTATTACCCTATTACCCTAAACCCTAAACCCTAAACCCTAAACC